CAGCATATGACTGTACGCCCTTGCATTCGTTTTTTCATGTATGTCAACCGTTGTATGAATTCTGTATACACAAAGGAGCAAAAAACAAATGGTATTGGACAGTAGGCTTGGTCTTGTGGTATCCATAATCGTTCTTTTTAAGAGGTTGATTTTTTGAATGCGCGCCTTGTTGCCACATGAACTTACTTGTTGGCTAAACTATGATAATTGTCTATAGTTCCTGGATTCAGTCAACAAAACACGATCGATCGCTACAATTGTCCAACTAAACTTTGAGGGTCTGGATTTTTTGCTGTTTACTTCAAAAGAAAACATCGCTGAGCTATGTGTGTGGGGAAGCGAGTAAAAAGCTGCCCGGACAAAAGATCTTGCTTTCTCCTCTCCCCACCCTTTTCTTTCGCGCTCGACTTGTGCGGCGCTGGTATACGAGGGGCCATATACTAAACTACTGGGGCCATCACTCATCAAAATTGTTAAGGCACTCCACATGTCACTGTCACACACTCTGACACTCACTTCCATTCGTCAGCTAGAACAGACCATTACGGGGGAATAAATGAATAATAATAATAACAACAACAACAATGAGAGCCTGGTCCCTTCCTGTTACCTGTTAGCAACAGGACAACTGAAATGTCCAAGGCGCATAGATCGGCCCCATCTCGAACATTTGTCTTCCCCTCTTCATAAAACGCGTGACAAAAACGAATGCATTCAAATCTAAGCTGCAATAAAAAATGTAATTTTGTAAGCATGCTGACTGAGAAGCTTTATTATATGATACGATGCAAAGGCAGGGATTCTTCGCAGTAATTAGCAAACGCAGAACACTGTAAAAAAAAAAAAAAAAAAAAAAAAACGCACATGCCACTTTCACGTCAAGGTCATGTTTCCATATCGCGTATTGTGCATTACTGGATTACTGGTACATCGTGAAAATGAAAGAAGGAGGCAATTGGTGCTCACATCCTTTTTTAAATTCACAGGCCACTCTGTGCTCGCGATATACATGCATTCCAAACAAGGGTCTTGTCCTGTGCGTCCTGCATCTTCATAAGATCATTATTGCTTTACATCGAGCGCCTTTGGTAACTTCACGAGAAATCCACGAGAGCGATTGCTCCATCATGTGTGTGAATTGGAGAAATTGGGTAGTCCATTGACAGACGAGGAATGTGGAAGTGTGTACGAACTGACATCTATAGTTCAATTTTTTAAATGATGACTGCGTCCGGCGCGTCATGTGAATCTTGTTCAGGGATGTGCGCATGTTTTCTCGGCTCCCTATGACTTTGCGAAAGAAACCGTGTATGATATCTGGTCTGAGCCAGACGTGGCTATCTGCAGTTCGTGTGATCGACCGTACACGAAGCGCGTCAATTGGATCTGAATACGCGACGCGGTAGTAGTACTCTGCATGCAATGGCATATCGTTGTGCCTCTCTTATCTTCGCGCTCCTCTGCTTGTTTCGCTTGAGGCTGTGGACTGGTGCCAACACCTTTTGGGTGGGTCAGCCATGGCTTGTGCTTGCCAATCGAGTATCAGCACAACTCTCTGATTACAGGTGCAGGGCTAATCATCTTTTTCCGAGAAGTATGGATTTGTCATTTCTCAAGGTTCTCTAACTGCATGCCTGTGGTCGATCCCAGGCAAGCCACCTCCGCAACTCCCCATCCCCTGCTGCTGCTGCTGGGAGCTGAAGATCAGCAGCCAATAACGTCACGAATTGGAATGGGGTTGGGCGACCCAAACTCAAACACTATGCAAGAAGTCCTATGTCATACAATTTTTGGAACCATATAAAGGACTTGACGGCGGCTGCACTGCTTCTTATCGTTCTTCACATTCTTCATTCAACAACACTTCAATTCAACTCAACCACACTAATTACCATGTCTGCCCTCGATCAGATCAAGAACTACACTACCGTCGTCTCTGACACCGGCGACTTTGAGTGTAAGCAGCCCCTCAATGATATCTCAACACTTTGCATACATTCTATTTTTCTTTCTTTCCCAGGCTTCCTTGCGAAGATTGAGAAGCTAATCCATTATCTCTTTGGCGGCGCCCTTTCCCTCTCTCTCTCTGTCTCTTTCTCTCCTCTCTAGCCATTGCCCAGTTCAAGCCCACCGATGCCACCACCAACCCCTCGTTGATCTTGGCTGCCTCCCAGAAGGCCAACTATAGCCATTTGATCGACGATGCTATCGCCTATGGAAAGAAGGATGGCGGGTAAGTGTCTTTACAGAATGGACGTATTAGCGCATGTGTGTTATCAAGTGAGTGTGGTACTGCAGCATCTTTACTTCGATCGGCAAAATTACCTCAAAGAGTGGTTTGCTGTTCTTCTGCGCCTTCTATACTTTTTCGCGCGTTCTTTTGAAGTAAGCACTTATCATGGCGTAGTGAGGTAATGCGCTCGGGAGTACAGAAACGCTTTTGCGCTCAATGCACTGGCGTAGTACGCTATTGATCAGCAAACCCCCCCTCCCCTCCCCTCAGAAAGTGATGGGGCTTGGACTTGTACAGGGTCTGAGTAGTACTGGTTTGTTTTCCCCACAGAAAAGAGATCGTTGGGAGTTGGGTTTCCGCTGATACCCGTTGCTATCAGGCAAAGACAGACGCTCATTCACTGTGTTTTGTGCGCCTATGACGGGGTTTCTTTTCTTCGTGTCGTCGCTGAACGTGGGTGTTATTTTTGGGACGCTTATCAATTTTGGGCTATCTCTGACCCATCATTTCCGATTGATCTATGTGCGCTCTCAATTCGAAATACCGTTCGCTGACATTCCTACCGTTTTAATGTCTTTATCAATCTCAGCTCCATCGAATCCCAGGTCGGATCAACCTTGGACAAGCTGCTTGTCAACTTTGGTGTGGAGATCCTCAAGATCGTTCCCGGCCGTGTCTCAACCGAAGTTGATGCCCGCCTCTCCTTCGACAAGGAGGCCACCATCGCCAAGGCCAAGAAGATCATTGGTCTTTACAAGGACGCCGGTATTTCCAAGGATCGCGTTCTCATCAAGATTGCCTCCACTTGGGAGGGTATCCAGGCTGCCAAGGAACTCGAATCCAAGGAGGGCATCCACTGCAACTTGACTCTTCTCTTCTCCTTTGCCCAGGTATGATCTCTTTTCTCCTCTTGCTCTTGCGATCTATCGGTCAATGTCTACGTCGCACTGTTCTATATGCTGAGCTGACACCATCTAATACGCGCTCAATATAGGCTGTTGCTTGTGCTGAGGCCAAGGTCACCTTGATCTCGCCCTTCGTTGGCCGTATCCTTGACTGGTACAAGGCCTCGACCAAGAAGGAGTACTCCAGTGCTGAGGATCCCGGTGTTGTTTCGGTCTCCAAGATCTACAACTACTACAAGCAGCATGGCTATGACACCATTGTCATGGGTGCCTCTTTCCGCTCTGTTGGCGAGATTGAGGAGTTGGCTGGATGTGACTTCTTGACCATCTCGCCCGCTCTTCTGGAGGAGCTCCACAAGTCAGACAAGAAAATTGAGCGCAAGTTGAGCCCTGAGCAGGCGAAATCGAGCTCCCAGCAATACCCCAAGGTCAGCTATAACGAGCCTAGCTTCCGCTGGGAGTTGAACGAGGATGCCATGGCGACCGAGAAGTTGTCTGAGGGTATCCGCAAGTTCGCTGCCGATGCCGTCAAGTTGGAGAAGATCCTTGAGGAGAAACTGTCGCACTAAAAGAGTTGCTTACTGAGGAGGGAAGAACAAGAACCTGAAGAAAACCAATGAAAACCGCAACAGATCTGCTATGTCTCATCAACCTAAATGCATGGATGCATTGTAAATAAAAGCATATTACAGCATATTACAGCGTATTGTCATTGTCTACCTGGGGCCATCCCCCAAGAAGAGGTATCCCCAGTGGTCCTCAAATGGTTCTGTTCGCAGTGCGGCGGGGAGGACGGGAGAGAGTCAAACTTAGGGGATCCAAGTCAAGTCGTCTCTTGAACGCATCTGTGGAGCTCCTTTGCGGCGCCACCAGCACCCATCTGTTGTTATCTTCACCCTCCCGCTCCCACATTTCTCTCTCTCTCCTTCTTTCTCCCTCACCACAATCACTCCAAGCAAAATGCCCAGATTATCCCAATACCAGCAGGACCTCTGCGATGCCAAGATGCTCGTCGCCTTCACCGGCCTGGACTCTGACGAAGAGGCCTTCGAAGAGGCCCTCGAATTCTACGCCCTCCTCAAGTCCTACGGCAGTCCCTCCACTGTGCGCCTCTCCCAAAAGTTTCGCCCAAGCAGTTCCTATTTCACAACTACCTTCACGACCCTCCCCGAGAACGACTTCCGTGCCCTCTTCCGCACCTCCAGACAAGGGTTTGCCAAGATCCTCAAGCAAATCCAGGACCGACCTGTGTTCAAGAACAAGCCGAATTACCCACAAACGGACCCGGCCCACCAACTCGCCGTCGCACTCGCCTGCTTCGGTGCATGTGGGAAGGAGGCGATGCTTGCAACGATGGGGGCGAAGTTTGGGATCGCACAAGGGACGATGGAGCTCTATACGAACCGTCTAATCACGGCGCTATTGGAAGTCGAGGGAAATTGGTTGCGGTGGCCCGAGGAGGAGTCTAGGGAGGAGCATGGGCAAGCAATGAGGAAAGAGGGGTTTCCGGGGTGTGTTGGGTTCATGGATGTTACCAAGATTCGTCTTACGCAGAAGCCGGCCGGTTCGTTTGACTGGTTTGATGAATACTGCGACAAAAGTGGAAGGTAACCACGGTGCGAAAGAACCTTTAGAGAACAACTACGAGCGAGGACCATGCCTTGCATCCGTCCAGCAGGACTGGAGCTGATATCCTTTCCTTTTCGTTTGTACATACAGAGCCTCTATCTGCATACAGATCGTCAGCGACATCAACAAGCGCATCATCTACTATTATATCGGCACCCCCGGTTCAATCACCAAAAAAACCGTCTTCGCGCGCTCCACTCTCTGCAAGGAACCCGACCATCACTTCGCTCCCGGTGAGTATGTCCTCGCCAACTCTACCTATCCAGCCCTACTGACCTGTGTCCCAGCCTACAGTCGATCGAACGGACTCGGACGAGGCTTTTAACAAAATTCTGGCACGATCCCGTAGGCGCGTTGATGTCTGCATCGGCAGCCTAAAGTCTCGCTGGCGGTCCTTACAAGAGACGCGACAGCGAATTCGATACAACGACGATATGAAGGTCTTTTTTGAATGGGTTAGGGCATGTTGTATACTCCACAATATGCTGTTGCGCCCAGGAGATCCTTGGGTCGATATTTTCCTCGATCAAGAGGGTCCAGATCCAGAGCTAGAACCGCAGCCACAGCCAGAGCTAGTGGGGGGCAAGGTGCAACCGCAACAGCCTAGTACAGACGATGAACTGCAGTTCCGGGAGAGCCTGAAGAAGACCACGCTCGAGACGAATCATGCACGCGGGAAACTTCCAGCACTCGCGGCCGCAGAGAGGGTCATCAGACAACCAAAGCTCAAGGCTGTGAACAGGATCCAACTCTTGAAGGCCCAGAAGCAGAGTACGCGCAAGACAAAGTCTGCAGGAGGCAACGTTCCAGCGGTCGCAGAAACAGAGACAGAGGCACAGATAGAAGCAGAGAATACTGATGGCCTGGCAGAGATCCAGGCAAGGGATCCGGAGCAGTTTCGCGAGGCATTGAAGGAAGTCGTCCTCAAGACCAATCGTGCACGCGGCGCTTTACCCGTAGCTCAATAACTGGCGGGCATAAAGAGGGCTTGAGAGGTCTTTTTTTTTTTTTTTTTTTTTTTTTTTGCGTGGTTTAATATACGAGGATACTGGCCTTGAGAAATCGACCAGCCAAATCAGCCAAATATCTTTTGTATACCGGGTAATTCATATTACAAAGAGGTACATACCGCGAGCTTCTTCTTCAGGCAATAGTAATAGCAAGTAATAGCAACAATGCGCACACGCAAAAAAAATATTGATAAAACAAGAACAAACGATGCAGATGTATTTGTTGTAGCGATTTTTATTTCATAAATTACAAGACCATTGAACGGGATGGTTAAACATATTGAACAAGAAAGAGAGAAAACTCAGGTGAACGCTATATAGCCCTATAGCGATGTGGGGATAGGAATGAGATGCCTCATCCGCTCGACCTTGACCTTCAGGTACTTGTCCAATTCTTTGCCCTTCACGATCTTGTTCTCGACCGCACCCTCCTTGACCTCGAACTCGCCCTCGGTACCTTGTTGAATGGCCTCCCAGGACTTGGGCATCATCGGCACCCTCTCGACCACGCGGATCGAGCTATTCTTCTCGACCTGTTCGATCTTGTCCGGGTTGTTGGTCAGCAGTCGGATCTGGTCCAACCCAAGGTCCTGCAGAATCGCCTGTGCAACTTCATAAGTGCGTTCGTCCGCGCCATGGTTCAACAGCAAATTCGCCATCACAGTGTCATATCCAAGGTCTTGTAAGTTGTAGGCCCTAAAAAAAAAAAAAAAAAGGAGGGACAACGGCCGCGGGTGGAGTGGTTAGCATTCAGAAAGAAAAAAAAAAAAAAAAAAAAAAAAACAGTTGGTGGCGTATGTCTCTTTGTGCTGTCTCCTCTCCGGCTGAATATTTCCGTGCTCCACAAACTAGAAGCGATCACCCGCATTGACTGCCTACTATCCCGACCAACCAGCTGCAAGAATTAAATAAATATTCACATGGGTGCCTTCCTTATCCCGCACGTACACACACGACAACCACAACCGCTATGACAAACATGGGTTGGAGAAACTGCTAGCAAAAAAAAAAAGAAAAACAACAACAAGAATAACTCAGCATTACTTACTTGAGTTTCTCGCCGAGACCAATGCCACGTCCCTCTTGGCGCAGATAGACGACCACTCCACATCCTTGGGCCTTCATCAATCGGATCGCTTCGTCCAATTGCTCGCCACAGTCGCACCGTGCCGAGTGACCAATCTCGCCCGTGAAGCATTCCGAGTGAATACGGACCAACGGCGCCGCCCCTGCCGACGCAACTGAAGAAGCCATCGTTGATGTCGTCGACATGGACGCTTCAACCTCAGTCGTCGTTGACTCCATAACCGTGTCCTGATCCTTGTCGAACTCTACGACGGTCTCGGTTGTCACTGTCACTGTTGCTGTCGCTGTCGCTGTTGTTGTCGCCGTTGCCGTCGCAGTCCTGAAAGGCCCGCTCGGCGGTTGCTGATCTGCATCAACCATATTCTGCAGACGACCCGTATAAGCACCTCGTCTAAGTCGGTCCATCTCCGTCTCGTTCGGCTGAACTCTATCCAGAGTCCGGCTTCGGATCGCATCCCCAAACACAAACGCCAGATGCTCCTTCTTGTCCTGCTTGTTCTCGTAGATATGCAAAAAATACTCGGATCCATCGGGGGTCGGGATCCTTGCTCGAGCGGCGCACCAGGCCAAGGGGTCAGCCTTGTCCTCGACCTCGTCCTTGTCTTCCTTGGACGAAGCAGCAGTACTGGTGTTAGTGCTGCTGCGCAGGATGGACGCTGGAGTGGTCGAGGGGACGTTGGACGGGTACTGTTTCTGGCTGAGGACGGTCAGGGGCGGGGTTGCAGGAGGGGTGTTTAGCAGGGTGAGGGGATCGATCTGCGCAGACATACGCCGAGGAACGGGCGTTTGCAAATCGACCGGGGAGGGTGAGGTCGTGGAAGCCGAAGAGGGATGGGTATCTGGAGAGGTGTCTTTGTTTTTACTGCTGGCGGTGGTGGTGTGAGTGTGCGAGGGAGCCGTGTAGGGCTGTTGACGGATAGGATGGTGTGAGGAAGGGTGGTTGTGGTGGCCATGGCTATGGCCGTAGTGTGCGTGCGAGTGAGTGTGCTGGTGACTCTTAAAGAAGAAGGGATTCATGTGGTCGATGGCGTTCCTGGGGATGTAGCCCTGGTGGTGCACAGCGATGGGAGCAGCCTCGTTCATGGAGATGTCGCAGGCCATTGTCACTCGATTGATGAGAGCGGGAGTGGAGACGAAGAGAGGATGAAAAGGAGGAGGAAGAGAGGAGGGGGGATGAGAAAGTACACACTCACACAAACTCAGTCAGTCAAAGAAGAGGATGATGGGACAGAGAGAAAGAGAAAGAAAAAAGAATGAAGGAACACCGCCCGGGTTATGAACATACGCTCAACCCGGCGGAATCCATTATTCGATCGGCTCACCCATTCCATCTATCCACATAATCCACATAATCCACATACATAGACTGACACTCCCCCCCTCCACGCCACACACCACACCGTCCCCTCCCATTTACTTCCTGCAAGTAATAAGAGAATAAGAGTGCTTGCTGTACACAACACAACCCCCGGATGGAGGGGGGAAGTGTGTGTGTGCGTGCGGCTTTATCTCTGGGATCTGTGGGGAGACTATCTATGCTTGTCCTTGTGGGATAGTAAATCCGGTCGTGCAATTGAGGAGTGTAGATCGGGTGTCGTGCAATTGGGGAGTGCCGTGCAATTGAGGAATGTAATGTGTCGTGGGGGTGCCTGATCGCATTTGCTGTACGTGTGTTTTCACACATACACACACATACACACACACCAAAAGCAGCGTCTGCAGTCCAGTCCCGATCTCTTCTTTGAATTCAATTCCTCCCCTCTCTCTCTCTCCCCTCCTTCCATCTTCCTTCCATCAACCCACGCACCCAACCAACATCCAACATGACCCGCTTCGCTGCCATCTCCCGCCCTCTCGCTGCTGCTGCCCGTGTCCAGGTCGCTCGCTCGGCCCTTGCCACCCGCTCTGCTGTCCAGAGTAAGCCCATACTTAATCTCTTCGGCAATCGAGTCCTCCCTCCCTCGGTCCTCCTTCCCCCTCTCCCTCGTCTACGCAATCGATCAACTCTACGATGCATAGGACATCTCTGACCATCTCAACCACAACATGGACGACTACAATATTGTATCATCAATACGACACAGCGCCGTCTGTTCTTGTCCGCAAAGGACACACCTGGATGACCGACGACACATGCGTTTCGGAAAAGTCGCGGCTAGGATTTATTTTATTCGCTCCCTAATTTTTTCGCGCTTGTTCAGGAGAGGGATCCCTTTTGTCGATTCGTGCGAGGAGAAACGCGCTTTACGCTGCCGGAAATGACTCTTCATCCAACCAACCAACCAACCAACCAACCAACCAACCAACCAACCAACCCAAAAAAAAAAAAGGCTGCTCATGGAATCATCGCCAACAGAATGCAGCTGTTCATTGCTTGAAGGCACACTTATCAGAAGTGAGATGAAACCTTGTCCGGAAGAAGCAGGAGCTCCGAAACCTGCTTTTGGATGGCCCCAATGTTACGCCACTCTTTCATGCTTATTTAACTGCAAAAAAAAACACATGTGCATCCTACACAGGATAATGGCCTCGGAAGGAGAACGAGAGGGCGGGAAAACGAGAGAATCACGACAATTATAACGCGTTTCCTTCTCTCTCTTGTGTGTGTGCGTGTATTTTACTAACCCCCCGTTACAATGTTCATCCATATCTTTGGTCTCTTTAGTCCGCCACTACTCTGAGCACCACGAGGAATCCTTTGAGGACTTCACCGCCCGTTTCGTCAAGTTCTTCGATAACGTCGACGATCTCTTTGAGCTCCAGCGTGGATTGAACAACGCCTTCGGATACGATCTCGTCCCCTCGCCCTCCGTGATCGAGGCTGCCCTCAAGGCCGCCCGTCGCGTCAACGACTACCCTACCGCCGTCCGTATCTTTGAGGGATTGAAGGTCAAGGCTGGCTCCGAGGCCCTTTACAAGCAGTACTTGGATGAGTTGGCCCCCCTCAAGACTCAATTGGGTGTCGAGACCAAGGAGGAGCTCGGCTTTTAAGATACTTTTAGAGCATCATAACTAAAAGGAAGCGAGTTTGAAAAAGGACAAAAAAACAAAAAGAAAAAAGAGAAAGGAAGACGAATGGACCACAGGAAAGAGGAAATCTGAATCTTTATATTATTATTGCGTTTCTCTTTTCTGCTTTTAACGCTGCTGCGTGAATGAACAACAAACAATTCCTCAGCACATCGATACAAGGACCCATTCTTATTTTTTTTTACTTTACTTTTCTTTTTCTTTTTTTTCCTTTTTGTGCTTTTGATTGTCATTGGAATAACAAAAAAAGATAGAAACAACCGAATAAAAAAAATACATTACTGCTTTACATCCTTCATCTTTATCATTAAAGTCGCGTTGTAGTTCATGTCTTCTCTCAGGATCTGTCGATCGTTTTTGCACAGCCAAAAAAAAAAAAAAAAAAAAAAAAAAAAAAAAAAAAGAGTAGAAAGACAAAAAGGCGGCTGTGCTTCCTTAACAAGCACACAAAGCGACAATTAACAACATTCCATCGGACCAAAAGTGTTAAAGAATGCATAGAGGTTTTAATGATATGAGTATTGTGCATATGTGTGTTCCCTCCTCGCCACTGCCCATCCATAGTCTACAGAAGAAAAGAAAAACATGAATTATAAAAAAAAAGAAAGAAAAAAGCGGAGGGTGCAAGAAGGAAGGAAGGAAGTCCGGAAGCCAAAAAGAACAAAAAAACAACAACAGTCGATATAACGGCGCTATTCGTCGTTTTAGTGCTTCTCCTTCTTGTCCTTCTTGTCCTTCTTTTCCTTCTTGTCCTTCTTCTCCTTCTTCTCCTTCTTGTCCTTCTTCTCCTCATCGTCCTTCTTCTCCTTCTTCTCCTTCTTATCCTTCTTCTCCTTCTTGTCCTCCTTCTTAACCTTCTTGCTCTTCTCGCTCTCGTCCTCCGACTCGACCTTGCGCTTCTTGCTTGATTCTGATGCCGACTTCATCGTCACATCCGCAGCAGTGTTGTACGATGACGAGGCCACAAACTCGTGCTTCTTCTGGTTGTTCTTGGCGTTCGCTGCGTTCTTGCGATCAGCACCGTTGCTCTTGCCAGAGTGACCCTCCAACATCCTGAGGCGGGCCTCGATCTTGCCACGGTTCTCAATACCGAGATCGGGTGTGTCTGTTTCACCGAGGGCATCGACCCTGATTGAGAGAGCAGCCTTGGTCGCAACCATACGCGCAATCTTTCCCTTCATCTTGGGGCCTGCCTGACCGATCAATGAGGCGTGGTAGATCAGACCGTACTTGGGTGTGTCGTGCTTGGTCTTCAAGGCCCGGAACAGAGCCTTCTCCGCACCGAGGATCTGGATCGTCGAGGCTGGGTGCTTGGCCAGGGTCATCAACGAACCCGCATGGGCAATCAAGCGGGCACCGACCAAGTCACCGACAAGGGCCGTCAAGTTGGGCGCGATAGCGTTCATGCGGTTCTTGAGGTATTCGTACAGCTGGGTGCGGTATTCGGTAATGGAGATGATCTGATCGCAAAGCGCGTGAATGTTATCCAAATCCTCCTCCGAAATCTCCGTTCCCATCGAGATCTCAGAAGCCTCCTTGACCTCCTGTTCGAGCTCCTCTGGAAGAATATCCGACAAGTCGGTCGACGAGCAGTTGGCGCGGAAGCCCATCTTCTTCACGACCTTGGCATAGGCCAGGTTGTCGACAATCAACCTGGTCATCTCGGGGAAGTGCCAGCCGTACCATTCCTTGACACGCATCGCATACGTGTTCAACTCCTTGTCGAGGTCGTCCAGCAGACCAATGGCCTGAACGATCATCGTGTCAACTTTGTCGGGAGAGAACTTGAGTTTATAACGGGACAGAGAGTGAGACAGACCCAGGACCATGGCCGACAGATCCGAGGATGACAATCCGGAGAGGAGCGACTCCAACTGCGTACGGATACCACGGTAGAGATCGAGAGTGGTCGAGTCAGAGACGACCTTCATGTTCAACTTCTTGGCAATAGCACCACCTATTGTGAAAAAAAAGTCGGTTGGTCAGGTCAGCATCAGGCTTAAAAGGTCCATTCTTTTCAATCAATAGGCAACAACAGCCACAACGTCCTTGAAACTTACCAAGCTTGGCGTCACCGACAATAAGCGACTCCTTCTTCATCTCCTTCTCGCTAATCTCCTTCGACAAAAACTCCTTCAAGTTCTTGGAGAGCTTTCCCTCGACCAAGGCAGTGACAGCGGACAAGGCATCGGTGGTGTTCTCGAACTTGGTGAAAGCCCTCAACTTCACACTATCAAACCACAGAAGGTAAATAAAAAAAAATATTACGCATTGTTAGACATGCCCAGGTCGCATAACGAAGTAATTGGCTACTAATATGCCTCAAATGAAGGGGGATGGGTGTTGACGAAAAGGTGGTAGGAACCCATCAAAGCCAGGCAATTAGGACACATCAGTCCGGGATAGCCAAACAGACTGGGGAAACAGACCAAGAAGAAGTGTGACAAACTGACAGGCAAAAGAAAAAAAAAAACAAAAGCGTGCGCACATAAAAAAAAAAAAAGCGAATGATTCAATCAAGACCAAACAGTTGACTCTGGTGCAATGATTGAGTGTTGCTGTTCTGGTCTCTGCTGCCGGAAGAGGTCGATGGGAGGGTATTGCTTGTTGTTGGGGTATGTTCTCTGAAGCAAAATGTCGAGGGATCTTACGTCTTGTTGGCCTGCTCGGGGGTCTCAAAGCTTTTCCAGATAGAATCGGGCTTCTCAAGCTTGCCGTCATCCAGGAGGGTGAACAAAGCATATCCCGCGGGAGTTTCGTAAAGGACCAGCATTTTCTGTATGTGATTAGAGGGATGTCGGTCGAGGAGAAAAGGATGCTGGAGAGTGGGATGGTGGTGGAGGAGGAAAAAAAAAAAAAAAAATTAGGGCTGATCAACAAACACTTTCTATTTTGGCTGGCGTGTTTACAATTTTTTTTCTTTTTTATTTTCGGGCAGTCACTTTAGCTGCATCAGTTAAGGGGAAGTACCCATATTCAATATTCAATCGTGCTGTACTATACAAAAAAAGGGTGTCGGCCTTGATGAAGAAAAACATTGGTGTTTACGAGTAGAGGTCGTCGTCAGCGGTGCTATCCTGCCCGAACGCTGCGTTTGTCTCGGCCTGGGCTGGCGCCACCGAGCCACCGACTCCGCCCTCAGGGAACTTGAACGTGTTGAATCCGCGCGAGTTCTGCAAGTTCTGCGCAAACATCTCATAACGACGGATATCACTGTCCTGGACAGAACGACGCGCAAACTTCATGGCCTCTTCGAAATGAGCAACCGTGAGCTCGGGAACTGCATCCTCTTCATCCTCATCCATTGCCTCCTCCTCGCCGCGTTCTTTGCGCTCACGCTCCCTGCGGATATCGGCCTCAATGTTTTCGCGGATAGCAAGCTTGCAGGCACGTTGGCAAATCTCCGTCAAATCTGCTCCAGAGAATCCATGGGTCGACTTGGCAATGAAGCTAAGATCAATATCGGCCGAGACAGGGGATTTGCGAAGCGTAGACTTCAACACAGAGAGACGCGACGCCTCATCTGGAAGGGGAATGTAAATCAACTGGTCCAAACGGCCAGGACGCAGCAGGGCACCGTCGATCTGGTCGGGTCTGTTGGTGGCACCAATGACAAAGACGTTCTTCTTGGCGTTCATTCCGTCCATCTCAGTAAGGATCTGGTTGAGGACACGATCACCGGCACCGCCAGCATCGCCGCCGCTATTACCACGGGCCTTGGCAATTGAATCCAATTCGTCAAAGAACATCACGCAGGGTGCGGCGGCACGAGCCTTGTCGAACACGTCGCGGACATTGGCCTCGGACTCTCCAAACCACATAGTCAAAAGCTCAGGTCCCTTGATCGAGATAAAGTTGGCCTGGCACTCGTTAGCAATGGCCTTGGCCAAAAGAGTCTTACCGCATCCAGGGGGTCCATAGAAGAGAACTCCACGGGAAGGCGACATGCCGAACTTCAGGAACTTTTCGGGATGCTCGACGGGGTACTGAACAGTCTCCTGAAGTTCCTGCTTGACCTTTTCCAGACCACCGACATCGTTCCATGTCGTCGTGGGAACCTCGACCACAGTCTCGCGAAGGGCCGATGGGTTCGAGACGCCCAAAGCATAACGGAAGTTTTCCATGGTAACAGCCAGTGAATCCAGAACCTCAGCATCGATGGTCTCGTCGTCGAGGTCAAAGAGGTCCATCTTTTCACGAATCTGCTGCATGGCGGCCTCAGAGCACAAACTAGCGACATCCGATCCGACGTATCCGTGGGTCTCAGAGGCGATCTGCTCCAAATCGACATCGTCATCCAGCTTCATATTCTTGGTATGGATGCGAAGAATCTCGAGACGGCCGGTAGGGTCTGGGATACCAATATCGACCTCGCGATCAAAGCGCCCGAAGCGGCGGAGGGCAGGATCGATCGAGTTGGGGCGGTTGGTAGCAGCCATGACAACAACGTTCGAGCGAGCCTTCAATCCGTCCATGAGCGTCAACAGCTGCGAGACGACACGCCTTTCGACCTCTCCGTTGGTCTTTTCACGCTTGGGGGCAATCGAATCAATTTCGTCGATGAAGATAATGGCGGGACTGTTTTTCTCGGCCTCCTCGAATGCCTTGCGCAGGTTGCTCTCACTCTCTCCAGCCATCTTGGACATAATCTCAGGTCCGTTGATCAAGAAGAAAAAGGCTCCCGTCTCGTTGGCGACCGCACGAGCCATTAAGGTCTTTCCTGTTCCAGGGGGTCCGAACATCAGAATTCCACGGGGAGGCTTGATACCGATCGATTTGAAGAGCTGAGGATGGCGCAAGGGAAGTTCGACCAACTCACGGATCTGGGCCATCTGTTTGCGGCATCCTCCAATGTCATCATATCCGACGTCGGCAAGATTGGACTCTTCATCCTCGCGCTTGATAGGCTCGCCCTCGCAGTGGATGACGGTATCTTGAGCGACCTACGATCCATGAAGATCGGAAAAAGAGGGAGTGGTTAAGGAGAGAGAAAACCACTGCATTAATTCCGGAGCCATTCAGCAAGCTTAGTTATCCTCGCTCATACTGTATTGCAAAAGGGGTTCCCTGCTCCGTAACATCAATGATAGCCGGACACTTACAATACAATAGTCGGCGGGATCAGTCTCAACGACCTTGAATTCAACAGCCCTCATACCACCACGAACGAGGAATAAATCTCCTTTGCGAACAGGTCTGTAGGCCTCCAAGAAGTATGGCTTCAGGTAGACTTCGAATAGATTTCCAGTGACACCCTCAACGGTGTCGTCGATGGGCAGGACGTGGATGCGCTTGCCGTACTTAATGTCGGTGCAGGTGTGAAGTGAGACAACATCTCCGAGACGGACGCGAAGGTTGTTGCGGACAACTGCGGCATGTCGAAGAATGATAAAGAACAATTAGTGTCAGCGGATCTGATCTTAGAGCCACTCACTGATCAGCTGCGGAAAGATGCATGATGCCGGGTTTCTCTGCTCACCCTTGTTGATGCGGACCTTTGAGTCCTCAACGCTATCGTCAGCCAGCACAATGAGAACAGTATCACGACGCTTCTTTCCCTTGACGAGGACCATATCTCCACGGAAGAACTGCAGCTTTTCCATGGTGGCGGTCGAGAGCGCGAGGACAGAATTGTCGTCGTTGGTGGCATCGTCGACAATTAGCTTGTTAGGGGCGCTCTTTTTGCGAAGAATAGCGGTGGCGGGATCGTGCTCCGGGTCGACATCAGGTGCAGTGATAGAGGCATTCTCGCTATTCGTACAAGCAGGTGCTTCGTTAGTGTTGAACAATAGAGACACCTTGCACTTGCGTATGCTACACACCAATATCGAAATATCCAACTTACACAAGCTTGCCCTTGGACTTGCTACTGCTACTGTCGGCCATATTGTGCTATATGTATGGTTGTTGTCTTGAAGAGAGTTATATGAATGATGCGGTGTAGCTCAAGGCAACAGAATGAATGAGAAAAAATTGGTAGAGACAAAAGATGCGAGTTGAATGGAATGAGGTGCGTACGCGTCACTTTTTATACCGGCCCCATTAGCCAGTAAGAGCGCAGGAAAGGGAGTGCGCAGGCACGGCTTCGCCTGGAACCACAAGGAACAAAAAAATATGCTTGAGAATGACAATAGATGCATTGCATAGCTCTTTTATGGGCCCTAGCATTACCCCATAGGAGAAACAGGAGAGCCCACTGTCCTTGGGATGATTCTGGTGCCTTCGATACCCTCATTGGCATCCGATTTGTCATCCGGTCTTGTTCCTGGTACACACTGTGGACCTGCTCTATTGATGAGATAGCGATCAAATAGTCTACCTGGCGTGATGACCTTAGTCACATAGACACCTGGGCCCCGGCTACTTTACTGAAACAATGAAAATGGATTCCGGCGGCTCCACAGAGGGCGTCCTATAGACGAGAAGGAAGGGCGCGTTTCCTACGACCGAGTGCAAATGCAGGATACAGGGATGTGTCAACGTGCTTTCATATCTTCGGGCCCGACCCATCCCATTCCATGGGTGCACGATAATTGCCTCAGCAACAACAACAACAACGCCATTGTCTATCTTCATACTCATAGGGAGCAATAATGATTTGCGGTTGCGCTCTCACACTCTCACAGTCTCTATCTCACACACTTACTCCCTCTCCCCTCCTCAACAACACCTTCCTGTTGCTCTGATTCACCCTTCGAGAAAAGAAAAAGAGCGCCCATTTCTCATCAACCTCCCTCCCCATTATCTTTTGTCAATCCACAACAACAACAGTGATCATCATCCCCTTCTCATCTATTCCTGACAAATCAAACAAAAAACAGAGCACCATGGAGGCACACCATGTGCTCAACCCGTGGCAGCAACAGCAGCGACACCAAAAGCCCCACGACCCATACAACATCGCTCCTTCCAACACCTTCCCTCCTCCTGACACCTTCCCTTTGACAGATGCGGAGACTAAATCCTTCGATGACTTTTTTCAAGACCACAAGAAAGTTCTTTATCAGTCCCAGCGTCTGCTGGAGCAATTGAAGCTGCAACAGAAACTAAAGCATCAAAACAACACTCAGGACCGGCAGGAAGAACACTCTGAAGGCGACGAAGACGGAGAAACAGACAGTCAAGGCACGGCCTGGAGTCAACTGGGCATGGACTCGCCTCTGAACCAGTCTTCCTTGACACTCGCTGACTCCACCACTGTGCTATTCCTGTCTGATCCTGGCTCCGCACAAGAGGTAAACCCATGCAACCCAATACGGCTCCCAACGCGCCAATCATATCTCCGACTAGGACATTCGCATTTAATATAACGAGGCGAGCAACAATGTCGGGCTATTATTACGGGAGCGCCCATCTATTGTGTACCGACACAAAGGGAACACATAGTTCAGCCCATGTGGAGTCAAGAGTCTGCTCGCTCTTGTCCATGCTTTGCTTTGCTTTACTTTGCTCCCGTGTCCTGTCACACCTTTCTGTCAGCTTTTATCCAGTTTACTGTCCGCTTTCTTGACCTTGGTCTCTCCACAACTTCTCTTCATCGATCAATTGCAACGTCTCGTCTCACTCCGTCACTACCACCTCTCGTCATCACCTGCCTTTTCATTGGTATTAATCCAGCATTGCAATCGTCCATCTTTGACCATAGGGAGATGTGTTGGAGACCCTGGTTCACACGCTTCAGTCCGAAGTGAAAGATACGCGGGCCACTGTCTTTGAACTCGAAAGCCGCCTGGATCTGTAAGTTATGCAAAAGAGATGACACAGCAAAGCAATAGATGAAAAATGGCGGTCTGCAATCAGTCTCACCAAGAGCTGCTCTATTTCATGCTATGCAGGGCCGAACATTCCAACCGATACATCGTGGAAGAGCTGAAGATGCTTCTTGCAGAGTAAGTACTGACAACAGATAAACATGGTCTATTGGATATTTCTCTATCCTCCCCCTTTTTACTTTGGGCTGCATACACAGTCAGTACACAGTGGATTGGCAATGACAAAGCGTGAATGGGGCATTAATAAGAGGAGTGGCATGAGGGAGTAAATGTGGGCGAGTGCGTAATGTGCTCTTGTTGGGGCCTTCTGTGCGACACACACATACACTTCCACTCCATCCAATTACATGTTTATATTCCTGTCTACTTTTGCTTGGCCCTCTTGGGTTGAGCCCTTCTCTCCATTCCGGCCAAGGAGAAAATATCCAAGAAAATCTGCCGCATGTGCCTGGCACACAAATCACACGTCTAATATTGAATTCAATCTCGCTGCCGATGGACTGTGCCAGCGACTGGTTGGCCCCAGCGTGATTACGCGCCCTACGATATTGCTCTTATCAGCACCCACATGGATGCCCAGCCAGTGCAACCTCTTGGCATCTGTTTGGAATCAACACTAATTGGACCTTATAACTCCTTCTTCTCCACTTCTCCTGATACACTTTTCACGACTTCATTAACATCCTCACATACAATGACTACTCGGAAACGCACCCGATCACGACGACCACATAGTGCCGAGGTGACCCTATGCACAGCAGGGCAGCCCAGCGGCAACGACCCTTCGCCATCCGCTCACAAGAAGGGTGCTCTCAGTGACGAGGACTCGAACATTGTTTACAACCGCATCTGTGTGGCTCTGCAGACACTGATTGATGAGGCACAGCTGGCCCTTCAGAAAAATCCATCCGCAAAGCAGGCGATACCGAACCCTATCGACGACATTCACCCAACACCATTGAAACTGACTGAAGAGAACAAGGCGCTGGACGAGGCAACTATGCGCAGTCGTTTGCAGGACAATTTTGATCCAGAGCACAACCTAGCGCGCCGCAAATCTCCCAGGAGTTCGATCACGCTTCTGGACTCCGAGAAGATCCATGACAACGCATCCTATCACGATCTCACAACCTGTTCGCCTACTTCATATTACTCAGCCACGGGCGAGGTCTCGCGGATATACTGGAAGCAGAAACACGAGGAGCAGCATGATCGATACAGGAAGTCGAGCCACAGACTGACATTGGAGCTGGATAGACGATTTCATAACCTTACAACGGATTCTGATGACTCTGAAGCTAGTTCCGTCGTGTCTCGACGCTCGAGGTCTCATGTTTCATCATCTGCGCAGTCATCTACTCCGTCAACACCAACGACACCAACACAACCACTCCAGGGCATCCTACGGTCATCCAAGAAGGACGGAGCAAAGAAGGAGCGGCTCAAGAAGAAGTACCAGGTGCAGTTCCTGAATGCGGATATCCCTGAATCAAGGCATCGAGATATAGCAGTGTCAACCGCAGTTTACACCGACAAACAACAACTACAACAAACACAGCAGCGACAGCCTCAATATACCAGTAGGAGTGTTGGGTCCACACGGTCTCGAGGAGTGATACTACAGCTCTACGACCTCTGGCAGCACACCTGGCTGCGGACACGGATCATGCATGTGATCACAGGATCGGTCGAGATCGTTATCATCATCTGGGTCGTCGTTAAGGCCAGTCGGTTCACCCTGACCTGGCTTGGCTTCCAACCTACGAGCGTGACCCATTGGATCACATTCATTTACGGACATCGCGACAGTGCCGGTGCAGGAGCCAAGGAGCTGTATGCAAAGATCCGGAAGGATGGGCTACAAATGCGTCAGTTCAAAGCATGGAGTCGCAAGGAACCCGAGGCTCTGATCGAAGACTTTGTTGCCGGAGCCGCAGCCTCAAGCGGCTTGATCTCACCCTCAAAGATGGTCTATGGTCCCGCGAAGAGGGCCGTGGCCCATGCTGTAACGGGCATGGCACTTGCGCTCCTGTCCGATGGCGCTCGACGGCTTGTCAGGAAACTCTAGATACTTCTGGCTGACTGACTGGCTGGCTGGTTTTTCCTTTCCTCTCCCGCTTTCTTGCTTGTATATAATTCCTTCCTTCCCAACACTCTCCATACACATACACATTCATACACCCGACAGCATACCCCCATCCATTATTCCCAAAGATCATTGCGATCCAATTTGAGTACAGCAGATATAGTCATGCAATCGTTGAAGGTTTATTCGAATAAATGATTACTTGTTGGACAATTGAGGGTTTCTAGAGCGGAGTGATACTATGCAGGGGATATGCACTATATCGTTAATGCAGGCGAGGGTAATGAGAGGAGAGGGATGGGATGCGCTGGTAGAAATGATAAATATGACGACAACTTTTTACAGCGCCCCGGCAGAGACCCAGAATCGTCTAGTAATAGACTCGTACCGATCAATGACACGTCCACCACTGGGAAAGTCCCAGCCATCCATGTAGTCCCCGTGGGTATGTCGGCCCCTGGATGTGTCGGTGACAGAATCCGAACCCACAACAGACTCAGGAGCACCTTGGATTTCGACGACGACCATCTGGACCTTAAGACGATAGAAGGCTGGGGGCACACGATCATGGATTTGCAAGTATTGGAATTTCGTCTCTGCAGGCACATTCCTCGCGAGGACAGACACGAGCTCAAGGGTCTGGTCCTGGACGAGCTCGACGAGGATCTTGGCTATGAAGTTCTTGGTGTTATCACGCAGGGTGCGATGTTGTGCCAGGTCGATGCTCTTGTCCATCATTAGGCGAAGTCGTGCCTGTGTGTATTCCAGCAATTCAGCGACGCGTTCGGGAATCTTCCATGCGAGGGTATAGGGAGCCATGGTATAGACCTTTTGATGGAGGCCGAACGTGTGCTCGAGTTCGATCGGCTTGACTACGTTGGGGTATTCTTGTCTGAGCTCGTCTGGGAAGAACTCGAGTGGCTGAGTTTCCCTATCGCCCGTGTAATAATCGTCGTCGTTGATGTCGTGGGCGATCTTTTCTGCAGACGTCGTCGTCGAGACTTGATCGGGTGCGGCTCGACGTGCCCGACGGGTAATGTTGATATCTGATCGCCGAAGAATCGACGGGATGTTCTTCGTCGTCGTCGTCGTCGTTTCTGCAGATGCGGTTTTCGGTGCTGCTGCTGCTGTTGCCGTTGTTGTTGTTGTTGTTGTTGCTACTGCTGCTGTTGTTGTTGAATTCAGAGCTTTGGTCTCAACTACAGCGGGCTGCTGGCTCAATCCATGATACAGTTCCAAGACCAGCATTACGGAAGCATCCTCGGGTATCTTGGAGGGTACCCAAACCTGGGCAGAACCTTTCCGGAAGGGTATAAATCGCTTGAGCGAGTGGATCTTTTTGTTGGTCCTGGAGTCGACGAGGATGATATCGACTGTTGTATCCTTGGGTAACCGTTTGGCATACTTTTTTGACCACCGTACGGATTCGACTGATCCTGCGTGCCAGACAGAGTTTGATTCAGGAAGGAGGAGCAGGGGTGGGTCCGAAGAGGGAATAGGGGAGGTCGTGGCGGCCTTCAATTGTCCTGTGTGCTGTTTGGAGGGTGAGCCATTGGTGTTCTTTTTGGACTTCTTTTTAGGCGACTTGTGTGTGAGGGAGGGGGTAGCCTTGGGGCGGTGCTTGGGGACTGAGGCGTGTGATAGTGACAGGGATGATTTTGATCGATGATTCGCAGGAAGGGCGTGTGTTGTTGTGGAGGGGAGGGAGAGGAGAGTGAGGGCTGCGACCATGCTCAAACTGAGCAGGACGACATGTTGTGTGAGCTTCATAGTGTTGGTGGTATCTCGATTAGGTCGCTTCTAGGGATTAGTGGAGCGGAGCGATACAGGTTTGGCCAGATTGTAATGAAGGATAGGGTAATGGAGGGAGTCGAAGGGGGAGGGGGAGGACGAGTGAGGAGCTATATGTACAGAAGTAGCAGAGACAAAGGGAGGTGCAAATGGACAACAAGGGTATGGAGGGAAAAAGACGAGGGAAGAGGGAGAAGGCGCTTGTGTATTTATATCACAATTCCTTAACTCATACTGCCGCAGGATATTCTGATATTCTTAGCTCAAATGTAAGCTAAACAACAACGCCTCTTTCTCTCTTGCTTGTCACCCATCCTCAAATTGCGAACTTTGTGTATCACATCGATCATGCCCTCACTCCCTCTCATCTAAACCTGCAACCATGCGGAGGACGATCAGAAAGGATCAAGCGATGTGGCTACAAAGTTCAATACTTCAGTCTTATAAACGCAAATGTACATGTACCTGGCGCCCTTTTCGATTCGTTAAAGGGGTTTGATTGGAGAACCGCACCGGCCAATTGGACTAGGCTCATATTAAAGAACCATACCACCATGGATGCCTGTCCCCGACTAGGCTATTCTTTTCTTTTTCGGGCCTGAGCAGTTGTCTTCATAAATGAATGCAGCCATAATAAAGGAAGAGGGGGAAGGGCCATTTAAAGAAGAGCTATAGTGGGTAAGCGAGCCCCAGGGGGGAAGGAAAGGGGGAATTGGGAAATTACACTTGATTGATAGATTTATTGGGAAGAGGATTGTCCAGCTGCCTGTAGCTTCGCTCCGACTGAATGGGACACTGTTCCTGCATAAGGAGTAGTGGGATGTGGGAGATGGTGGACTGCATGCAATTTGCATTAACACCATACCTCCGATAACTACATGTATATACAAACGAGATAGGTCTTGTTCTATTGACCCAGCGTGTTGGCTTTCCCGAGGAAAATGAGATACGAATGCATCAAGGTCCGTGTATCTTCGACAACAGAAGCCCTCCATGAGCTTGTATGTACATTCTTGAACCTTATGGAATATCCCTGTTTCGTAGTACTCAGGACTGGTTGCGAGAAGCTTTTTTTCTTTGGTACAATTGAACCCAGACGCTGTACAAATATACCAGTATGGGTAACCAAGATGGACCATAGACATCATGATGAACTTGGACTAGTGCGTGTTTCGTAGTTAGACCATTGATGATCGCTGAAGGAAGTGAGTTTGTGAGCCAATGTTTGGGTGAAGTAAGAAATATAAATTGCAATCTCAGCCGTAATTGCTTATGAGGTATCGTCTAGCCAATCAGCAGCTCAAGGACTGGGGAAGACGCGTCGACACATAGCCTCTATCCCTAGGATGGGGCCTAGGAGGAAGGTTCGCCCTAAGCCTGAGCAGCTATTGAGTGACCCAAAAGGGCCATGTAAGGCATGCGCCCTCTGCTGTCTGATTGGCCGACTGAACCGCATCCTTTACATGCCAGGGCTATTCTGCTTTTGCTATGCTATGCTTGCATGAGCTCCAATAGCTATTCTCCTTGATGGTAGCTAAGCCTGTGGATCCACACCACTCGCACCATATCTGGATGCTGCTCTTGAGTCGATTTCCCATGTTTGGAGTGCTGTCTGCAAATTTACTAAGCTGCTGTGCTTCAGATGACATAAAAATCGCTTTACTGCATGGGTACAAAGCGAAAGGATCGACTGTGGATGGTATGTGCGTCAGGTCCCCGTAATCACTCCAAAGCTAAAAAAACGCCACCAAAAAATGAGTCTTTTTTGCAGTACAGTCCTTTTGTCTTCCTTGGCGGATCGTGAACATCACTCCTCCCATCTTATTCGATCCACCTCAACCTATCCTTCCCATCACCTTCGATTCGCTCCTCCTCCTCCTCCTCAGACGCGTGAGCTAGGTAAAGAGGAAGATCGCATTCGCTATTGCATGCTTTTTGCGTAGGCACCTTGCCTGCACTCCGCGGGAGGAGCCCTTTTGCATTTGCATTGGCTCAGAGATCGCCTACACCACAACAACAGCAGACAAAGCAGAGGATCTGCATAGCCATACCCCACCGCTCATATGCACTGCTCTTAATGTGCTGACAAGTGAACATTTCTTTACATTCCATGAATTGAAACACCAGATCCTCTCTCTCCATTGTGTCATGCCGCCTAAGCGAAAGGCAGCCGACAGTGCTGCGACTAATGGCATCCCTGCCAAAGCAGCCAAGAGGCCAGCGACACGGGGCAAAAAGGCAGCAAAGGCGACCAAGGCCTCCATGACTATGGAGGACGAGGTATCCAAGGCAAGTCATTCATATTCCAACACTATCGCACAGTACTGTCTGTCCATCTGTCAGGCCCAATGGACATCAATACGGTGGCAAAGAAAGAACAGTCCCCCTTGCGCGAAGAAAGGGCTGTTCTTTATGTCCATCCAACAACAACCACTGCAGGAAAATCATTCCTTTGTTTCCCCCTCCCACCCACAACAAAACAGCGCAAACAACACGCACGACCCATTCTTTCTCTTCCTTCTATTCTTTCCGCTCTCCTGCCCTTCTCCTGGATATACCGAAAATAAACCCTCCACTAGAAACCCTCTCCACTACGTCCTACGAAGATACCTTCATATATACGCCACCACTCGAACGAACGCCAACCAACCACTAAGGAACTGGACGACCTCTTGAACTTGACTCAACACCATGGGGAATAAGAACAGCACCGCCAAAGAACACAATTACAGACCAAGAGGAGCAAAGATCGACATTACCACCACCGCAGGACCGACATTCCGTTCAGCGTAAGGGTCGTCCTCGCATCACGCTCAGAAGGAACTGTACCAACAATGGGGCGTGCCAACACCTCCCACGTGCAAGTGTGCATTTCCATTCCTCGTCTGACATACCCATTTGGCATGCTGAGTAGACTCAAGAATAGCGACGCTTTGAGCAGCCCATCAGCATCTAAACTACCAATTTCTACCCTGACCCTACAACCCTCAGCAAAAGTATGTCGCCGTTGCCCCTTTCGGCCTCTTTATCCTCCACTTGACCCACCAACTATACTACAAAGAAAGATTAGCACTGTGACACTGTCGACTGTGGCCCATGCTGACTCGTTATGCTGCTTTTCTTTTTAGAAATCCTTTGATCCCGACCGATGTTATGACTGGTTCAAGACGTACACAGGTGAATTGATCGGTGTTTGGACAGCATGAAAATCCCTCTACTAGACCGAGGCCTAACCACCAATGTCACGGTTCTTTTAAAATACGACATTGAAGGCCTTGACGAAGATTTCGATACGGATCAAATTGGACCTAACGGTATTGCAAAGCTTTGTGAGGACATTGGTGTCTCATTGGAAGCTGTAAGTTACTATTGTGTTTAGTTTCACATATTGCTCAGCGCATAGGGCTATTTGTTCCACCAATGCATTGTTGGCAACGGACCAGTCGTTTTGCACAGAGAGCCAACTAATTAATATCTACAATCCCCCTCCCCCTGCATATCTAGGTCGACATGTTGGTCCTGGCGTACCATTTGGAAGCTGACACGATGCGTAAGAAGGCGCAAGCAGGCGCAGCTTGGCTTCTTTTTTTTTTTTGTTCAAATGACAATGCCCTGTAGCATAACATCGATGCTTCTTTGCTAACAAGGTCCGCATTTGCTTCGCTTTCTTCTACTTTTAGCAATATTTACAAAGGATGAGTGGGCCAAGGGCATGAAGAAACTCGAGTAGGCAATTACAGAGCATTTATCGGTCGCGTTGAGTGAAAATAACTCAAGGATGTCCACCTGATGCCTAACATTTTTTATGTTTCTAGGATTGATTCAACAGAGAAGTTGAAGGCAGCGATGCCTGGTCTGGTGGCCAAGCTGAGAGATCCTCAACAATTCAAGGAGTTTTATCGTTACGTCTTTATGTTTGCTAAAGACTCTGAACAAAAGTGTATGCCGTTGGAGGTGAGTGAAACCGCTTAAATTCATTGAGAATGAAGTTCACGATGGTATTAAAGTGCTTCTGGGTTCGTACTGACGACCAAATGATTATGTTTACATTCTCATAGACTGCATGTGCGATGCTTCAGACCGTGTTGAAGGGAAGACCTCACGAGAAGCGTTTCGTGGAATTCTTGGAGGTAACAAGAACTGGATTCACAGATTTCTTCGGCATCCCATCCCTTTTTTTCCTTCAACATATCGCTCACGACAACGTCGTTCCAATATCTGTTTATTAAATATGCAGGCAAAGGAACCGGTCAAAGTTATCAACAAAGACCAGTGGTACAATTTTCTGGACTTTTCGGACTCCATAACTGAGGACCTCGCCAATTACGACGGTGCCAGTTCGGCGTGTAAGTGATCGGGACATTAGATCGATCTCTAATTTTCGTTGGTGGAACCGTGCACCAGTCAAGCAACAACCAAACTTACTACTATTTTCTTCATCGATGCTCTGCTTTCATTATAGGGCCTGTCCTTTTGGATGAATATGTCGAATGGCGGAATGAAGAGTCTTCTTGAGGGTTGCCTGGATTTGGATGCGCAACACAGTCATTTGGACATTATGTACAGGATTGATGCTGTCCGACAAACAAAGACGCAAAGACAAACAAGGCATTATGGCATTTGTTAAGCCGCTGTTGGTGTCCATCGTACAAGGCTGGAGATCCCTATGCAATTAAATAAACAACACGCAAACGATGCAGTAGGATGAAAGCAAAGAAAGCTGCTGCTTTTACTGCATTCTGGAAAATAGAATACCTTTTGTTGTCAAGAGTAGCTGAAGTAGGTCATGAACAAGATATGATGAATGCAAGTTTTATTTGCAGACAGAGCTGGTTTGAAAATAGATACATATTTATAAAGCTCCTTTCTTCTTTGCCTCGGATTGCGGGACGACATGAGACTTGCTAGGAGAAGACTTAGCAGGTCTTGGCAGTGACGGTGGCAGACTGGCAGAAGAGGACGTTGCCGTTTCCGTTCGTGGCAAGGACGGTGAGAGCAACGGGGACCTAATGAGATGAAGTTAAATGATAAGAAATGGCAAGGATAGTACTATAGCGTTAGAAGAGAACGATCCACGAGTCGAATACCATGCAGAAAAAAAGGGTGTAAAGATCACTTACGTTGGCGGGAGCAGTGGACTTGACGAGGACGCAAGCGGTGATGGAGGTCAAGGTGGTGGGGATGGGGCAAGGGTGTCCCTGAGCGGCCATGAGGGCGCACAGGTCCTGGTTATCGGTGTAGACGACACGTCCACCGTATCTGCCAGTGATGGCCAACTTGGCACCAGCGACGACGGGAGTCGAGAGGGTACCGGTACCGGTAGCGCAGACGTTCTGGTTGATGCACAGAGGGTAAGGCGCGATCGAGAAGGTGGTGATGGCGATATCCGTGGCACCGGTGGCGCAGTTAGTGAAGGGAACCTGGGCGTTGGCAACGGCGGCAACGAAGAGGGCAGCGACGGCAGCAATGAACTTCATGGTTGTAAAAGTAAGTGGTTTGTTTGTGAGAGAGGAGGAGAGGCTGGAGTGTGTTGTTGTAGATTGGGAGAACGAGAGGGGAGAGAAAGATGCGACCTTTTTATACGTGTCCTCCTCGTCCTCGGATCGTGTCCAGGACCGGCGCCTTGTCCCTTCTTCTCAGGTCATGCCATGTGTACTCGAAAGGATAGTGGTCTACACACACAGTGGTATACTGCCGAATGAACTGCAGCTGAAGGCTACAGTGAGAGGCACTAGTCTATTCTAGATGTTATATTGCTGCATTGTTATGGCACTACACACAGTTGTGTGCAAACGGGCAAGGAAGTGGAGTGAAATGGAGCACGATCGATATCTTCAGTCCAGTAAGTATATAGCATAGATTAAGGACGCGAGACATGTATGTTGATACACTAGCGAGTGGGGAGTGGGCGCGGGAGCGGCGGTGGGCTCAGATTGTGGAGCACAACACAGTTTGACCATCTTGTGGAGCATGAACCCATTTATTTTATTACAGTGCTCTGTCTGCATTGTCCTACTGGTCCGCATACGAAGGAGGATATGCTATTCTATCGACTTTACTCTCGCTCCATCGCCCGTTGTTTATTGTCCCTGGTCTGCATGTCCATTCCACCAATTCATCCCTACGCCTTCAGTCTCCTGAGAAAGAAAAACAACAACAAAGAGAACGCAACAAGAACGCGTCTTTGCTATAGGCGCGTGTATGGTCATTGCCGTCATTTGTTTACCAGCATAATAAAACAAGCACCGGCATGAGTACACTGGATCGATCATGCCTTCTACCCCACGTCTCCTATAAAGAAACCACTAACAACTTCTTTCTTGGTTCACTTTAGTGAAGGGGAAGTACGGGGGCGGAGGGTTACAGGACTCATCCGTAGGTTGTGAGCACGCACTTTGCCATGGTATTTCTCCCACACAACTTCCCCACCGCGAAGGGTGGGCGCAAAATACCTGCAGCGCCGAACATGTCGCATGCAGTTCTCACCATCCTAACGGTCGCTGGAACACGCTCGGCGCAAGAGTCTCAATCCTTTATGATACCCCTACTTCTCCGCCGCTATCCACTCTAACGATGAGTCTTTGCACATGCATCGTATAATTCCGCCGGCGGACTATATATACGCAATGCACCATCTAACGATTGTACTAAATCGCATATCTTCAGTGCAACCTTGGGCTACAGCGATTCTCTTTGTACCATCCTGTCTCAAATATCTCCAGAGGTGTAATGCAACACAACTGGTCCTAACACATCCTCGCCATCCATCGCCTCAACCTTTGCGCCGATTTTCTCTCGCGACCAAAAAGCCCTTTCTCACTTCTTCACATGCCAATCTTCAGCAATGGTTCGACATGGGGCAAAAGGAGAGGGAAGGAGGAGCGAACGGGGCTTTTTGTTGTTGCCCTTTGACAGCTGAGCTTGCTTTCTTGCTGTCCATGCGTAATTGGAATGACACCAATGTTGGCCATGGGCCTACACTGACTTGTCGAGTTGTGATTTGAAAACAACCAATGTGTGTTCTGTTCTATTGTTTGTAATTGAAGGTGCATGCCTCTGCTGCCTAGAACCCATTGTCCTAGGGGGCGCCCGTTCATAGTCTAGTTCGCAATCAGATCTAGCTCCACCACCACGACGAACTTGTGCAAGACAACATACAAACATCGTACGATGGTGGGGTGGGGGGAGCTGGTAGTGCATGGAAGAAAGCTGACGAAGCCAATATGATGTTTATCCTCAAGAGCACGGGGCGAAAAGCCTGGGCTCCACTTTCTATTCTTTTTTAATTTATTCCGTTGTTGTATCGCTGAACCCGCTGAACCCGCTGAACAGAATGTTTGTAACACACACGTCCACAAACGTATAAAGTATGGTTGTTTGCGCCCTTTGCGCATACGACTAAGTCTTTGTACCTCCCCCTACCCCCCCTTCAACGCCTACGGGGAGAGAACTTTATCATTGGCATGGGCGGAGGGAGAAGTTCACTTTATGAAACACATGCATATTCTACGAACGCATTCATCCATTCAGTTCATACAACACCACAGTACTCTTTATATATATTATATATATGAATGTGTATGTGTACGTGTTATGCTGCATGCTGACATCAGTTGACAAGCTCAACAGCTCGTCGTTCCCTTTGAAAAAGATAAAGAAAAGTGGTTTTCATATGCCTGCGCGTGTTTTATTGGGGTGATTTTTTTATTCCTTTGGCACCAGTACACATCAGATCCCTCTGCACGATGGTCGATGGCGCTGCGCGTTAGTTTTGATTACATCTAGACCGGATGTCTTTTCCGTTCTGCTTGATAGCATCAGATGATGTCTTTTCGCGTTGTCAAGATAAAAAAAAATTGCACCAACTCGTCCCATTCCTACCTTCTTCTTCTTCTTCTTCTTCTTCTTAATAATGTCTATATCTGCCTCTCGCCTTGGATGTTCGTGCAGTCAACCCCTACCCCTGCGTTCGATCACAAATTTGACCCGTTCTCTGCAGCCCATGCTGTAAGTACCTTGCGATAGTAGAGTAAGATCATCCTTTAAAAGCTCTCTTTGCACCGCATAAAAAAACGGCGCAAGGGAAAAACAAATAAAACAAATAAGATATATCGTAACGTCGTTCATACTCAGAAAGTCACTTTGTACATGGTGGATGAGGGCTTGTCTTGCCTTGCTTGGGTAGAAAGGCGCATAAAAAATTAAAGTTCGAGAGCCTCCCGCCGCAATGGCTCTGTGCAACGCGACGCGTTCTTTTCTCAAGAGCAGGACCTCCGACGAGCGAAGGTTTGCGAGAGGAATAGGGGGTGCCTCGCTTACTTGTAGTTCCCTAAATATTACATCCTACTCTTACACTTACACATTTAACCATGGCGTCGCTAGAGATACTACCGTAGTTAGGCCCAGACATATGTTGTTGCCACAGAGCGATAGGCTCGTTCCAGACTTGTGGAGTAAAAAAACCCCTTATCTTGGTTAATTGTGTCTCATACGGAGAGAGAGAGTCTCTTAAACTCCGCACACTGTAGGGTTCTTGTTCAAGCTAGGAACAACGAACAAAAGATGGTCAGTCCTGATCTTCCTTTATGCGTGTCGCACCTCAAAACGCTATATATCAAATCCTGTCTATATGAGGTGACAACAAGGTCATCATCCCGTCAAACGCATCGCCTTTGAATTTTACGATACGTGTGAGCGAGTGTTCATTACCAGCCAGGGCCGATTTTCAGGTAATTCGCTTGTTCTCAACCCAGGAAGACTCCCTCTTTCACCCTCAGATGACGGTCGTATCGTGGGGCCTATAAGTAGTGCCGATTGCCGCTACGGCAAAGGAAAGCAGCGATTGCAGTGAAGACACGACATGTAATATATGTAGTATATCCAATCCTTGTCTTCGTCTGGCCAAATACAGACAGGAATTCGATTTTAGAGCGGACTATCACCCTTCTTTTTTTGACATTTTGCATTTTGGCTGCTGTGTAGACATAGTGGACACATAATTGTACAAACACTTGCCTATATCGCCATTAAAGCCAGAGAAGAGGAGCATCGATGAATGGTATATGGCAGAAGGAGCAGTATGCTAATGTGCGCGATAGCAAGCGAGTAACAATGCCCCCCCCCCCCCCCTCCCCCAAATCAAGGGGTGTAGTTCCCATCCAGATCGGCCAACCTGAATACACATTCTATCCACCCTCAAATATCGAAGCACGCTCGTTGTTTTCGCGGAAAGACTATCAGTAGAGGGCTACGCATCATGGTCTGAGTATAGAGGCCCAAGCTTAAAACAAAGACACCCAGTTTCAATTGTAGATGCCTGCAAATACTGCCTGCTACTGCAGTCTGCTGTGCAAGGAAATCTAAAGCATATCTTTTTGATTTGGGCGCAGCACTTGTCACAAGCGCATTTTTTTTTTCTTTTAACTTATGCTCACTCTTAAGATAGTTCTTCACGCTTTGATGGCCTTGCCTTTAATCCCAGCCTAAATTCAGGAAAAGTGGACACCATAGTAGGTTGGACAATGAGCTCGAAACCGTCCTTGCAAAATAGATCCTGCTTGCATGAGAACCCCTAGCACGGACATAGCACGCGATGCACAGACACGGCCGTTGCATGTTTTAGTACTCTTCGCTCTGCTCCGAGTAACTTGCGAATGTAGAGAAAAAAAAAAAAAAAGAGGCTCTGCCCTGGCACACCTTTTCATTGTCATGAGGGACGTACACATAAAGACCGCCCATAGAACCATCATAGCAAACCATGTTGGGAGTCGTTGCCTCCCTCGTTCTCAGCAGCATTCATGGAACGCTGCATTAGAGAACCGTTGTTTTTCGCGACCGGTTTTAAAGCCTCAATTCGTTTGTACCGAATGCATGTTGTGTCGGTATAGCTTTGTAAATCTCGATCGTAAGCAGATATATGCATATTTACGTCCTTCTTCTTCCGCTTCTGTTGGATACTGTCCTATGCCTCGCTGGCCCGGGAGCTTGTGATAGAGACAAAGGGGAAGCGTGCTCGGGGTCCTGACCTTGATAGGAATTCCGAAACTGAGGGGCTGAGAGCTTCGTAGCAATGCTCATAAAAAAGGTTTATCCTTTGCATCAGCAAAGCTCTCCTTCGACTACAGGTCTAAAAACGGACAGTTCTTCGACCTTGACCCTCCTTTTGGCAAGGTAGTCAATAGTATCCTCCAATCCTAACGTCGCTTTCTTGGCGTCGCTCTGAAGACAATCTTCTTGCATTGTCATATAGTTACGTTGGTTCGTGTGTAAAGAGGGCGGAGAGCTCAAAGGTAACACCAGCGTCAACACGATGCATCTTGGACCATTCAGGGCAGCAAACCGAATGGTCTGAGGGACGAGCTACGGCAGGTGGGAAAGTACAATACAAGGGAATAAACAATGCTGGCCGAGAGGTTGGATAGAAGATAGAATGAACTACAGGGGTCTCTGGTTGTTGAACATGTGCAGCGTTCAGTGGCTTAGAAGGCACACATCTCCACTCTTGCTAGTCTAGGCGGTACGTTTCAGGTACAGTGTGGTTGGGGAAGGTAGGTGTGTTCATTTAGGCAAAAGGGGGAACCGAGAACAAAATACTGCCTTTTGAACCACAGGGGGCCATAGCCGACTGCGCTACTATGCACATACATTCCTGGCCCAGCGCGACTACACTACAGCGCCTGATCCTTTGCTTCCAGTGTAAGCACGTAGCAGGTTTTGCCCGGGAGGATTGTCTCTGTGAAGAAGTCAAGCTTCCTTCCCTGCCCATGACCGTTAATGAAGACACGGCATTTACCAGCGTTTGGCCAACAGCATCCATGTGAAGCCGACTTCGCACAGAGCAAGGGCGGGCTTTCCACACACAATTTCAGTCGACATCTGCAGGATAGTGTAGCGGTTCTGAAGAAAGCCATATCGTATGTCTTCTTAGTTCTCTAAGCCAATTTCTCAACGAACAGCTTTAAAAATAAATATATGCGCTTTTATTTCTACAATCCTCTTGTGCTGAGGATGACAATGAAGAATAGCGATGATGGTATGGATGAAATCCATGGTGATATATGAATACATAGCGCGGATAAAGGCAAGCGAAAAAGCAAACAAAAGAGCGTATTATGAAGCAAAGTAACGGATAAAAGAACAAAATATAAATTATAAATATATATAAAAAAAAGAGCCTGGCAGAACCAGCAATTCAACACAATGCTGCTTTATGAAAAGTAAGGAAGGACCTGGGGAAGAGCAGCCGCTGCCACAAGACCAACAGCAACCGTGATCAGTCCTCTGTACCTCTTTCGGTCTCTTGTTGCTTGGTCCTCGAGCTCCTCAATCCGACGCTTCATGACCGTAGCCTTTTCAACTGGTGCCTCCTCATCCTTTTCCTCATCCTTTTCCTCGTTCTTCTCTTCGACCTCCTCCTCGGCCTTTTCACCATCTTTCTCCTCCTCGCTTTCCTTCGTGCCCTGGCTCACAATCTCTGTCTCGATGGCTTCGATCTCTTCCTTCACGAAAACTGTCTCAGTCGTTGCAACAATAATCGTCTCGGAGGTAGTCGTCTGTACCTCGTCCTTCTCTTGAGGCTCTGAAGTGGAGATAGTGCCGACTACGGTAGCAGTTTCAGTGGCCGGGGTGGGTGCAGAGGCAACCTTTGTCGTGCTCCTGCGGGCGGGAGCGTCCAGCAGGGGTTGCATGAACAAGTCGATTCCGTATTCCTTTGCTAGTTCCTGGGCTGCACAACAATAAAACCAAAGGAGAGTAGCAGGCGGGAAAAGCAAACAAACAAATATTCATTCAGTCAGTTCACCACGCTTTGTGCAGATGCATGCAGACGGGCAGTTGAACGGTGAAGCGGGCGATTCGTTTACCTTGCGAGATCGTGACCCTAAGAAGATGGAGTCCAAAGAACACAAAAGGAAGAAAAATAAGCAATTGTAACCTCCTTTGAACAGAATTTCGATGTGGAGAGTGTGCCCCACGTTTTTTTTTTTTTTTTTTTTTTCTTCAGGGACAAACAACACACAACTATGTGTGCCAACACCTTACCAAACACCAGCAAGTGCTCCACTGCTGGCCTTCTCGACAATAGCACCGTCAGCCTCGTACTTGCTTGCAAGATAGCTGTTCTCCGTAGCCTCCATGGCCTCAGAGACAGAGGGGTAGGTGGCATTGAACATGGCTGTAGCGTTCACCATATCCAAATCCATCCTGCGCATCACTACTACCTCGCTATCGGTCGTTGGAGCCGTGATCTTCAGCACAGGAACATTGCCCTTTCCTGAAGCGACCTTGACGCGTCCCGACTTGGGCTTGTGTGTCACACTGCCAGAGATAGCTGCATTGGCAAGCAACGCGTTGCTAAAAATCGGGAGCTCGCGCTGGGCAGGGACTGCAGCAGTGGCCTCGATAACAGCAGCAGCCTCCACTACAGCTGTGAGAGACTCTTCATTGACTTGCAACGAAGCAACGCTTTCTTCGACAGTGGTGACAACCGTAGTGGTGGTTGTGCTAGTGACAGTCTCCACACTCTTGGTGTCGACGATCGAAGCGGCTGCGGCCTTTTTAGATTTCAGTGATCCTGCCATGCTGTTGAGAAAATGGATGAGTGTTTGTTGTTGCTGATGAAGAATGAAGATTAAAGAGACCGGCGGGGTGAGAAGAAAAAAAAAGTGGGGCAGAGCAAAATAAATAAAAGCAAAACACTCACTGAAAACACGTCCGGTCTGCAATATTTTTTTCTTTCGTTATTTGTGAACGCAAGACTCATGTCGACTATCCATTGAAGATACTTTGATGAGCGCTTTGGTGCCTTTAGTTACCGCAAAAAAAGAATAGACTATCCATGTTAAGAAAGTTGCAAAATAATGATAGTGATGTGGAGGTATGCAGGGAGAGATGCAGAGTTAAAAGTAGTTCCTGGTTCCTGAAATGGTACCTGAGCCGATATTTTCTTTCTTGGACAATTATCAAATGTTTTTATTCCAATCATCATTGGACAGCTGCTGATGCTCAGTCAGAGTCTTCGGCATCTGATCCGCTAATACCGCTTGTGGAAGACGAATCGCTCTGTGAACCACTGCTCCCTGTGCCTTCGCCGTCGCTACTCTCATTACTACTGCTACCAGAACTCTCACCACCAGCCATTCCAAAACTTTTCCCGCCAAACTTGCGCACTGGCGGCGGTTTGGCGGGCGTCGACGGCTTTCTCGGCTGCTTCTTGGACTTTACTGCTTGTGCTTGCTGTTGCTGTTCTTGATGCCGTGCCTGCGCCTGTGCCGCCGCATTGGCTTGATCCTTCAGGGCACTGCTGACCAAATGTGCAAGAGCAGAAGTATCGTTCAAAAATGTAGTTCCATTTCCTGCCGTTAGCGCTCCATTCCCTGTGCTGGATGGAGGAGCTGCGTTCGCATTGCTCCACTCAAATTCATTGTCCCCGTCAATGTCCTCATCGCTGTTGTCGTCAAATTCCTCGACCTCTGCCCGACGAAGCAGCTCCTCGCGATAGGCACCACCCTTGCCCTTGCCAAGTCCCAGGCCCATTGGTCGGCCACCGCCTTTGCCTTTGCCTAGGCCAAAGCCCCCTTTACCTAATCCAAACCCTCCTTTTCCTCGCCCACCCCCTGCACGGCTCCCTTGTACGGTTGGTGTTGACTCGTCTCCATTGTCCTCTCCTTTCTTTTTCCGGGGCTTCTTGACGGTTGTTGATTTGGGTTTTGAGACGCTAAACGAGCCAAGAGACGCTTCGCCCGATTGGCCGCTTTGAGATGACGTTGCGGAGCCTCCAGTCAGCGCAGCTCCAGGATTACTACCAAGAATGTTTCCTGTGTGAGCGACAGACATGGATGCCATGGCGGATGCTGGATCTAGACCTTTGGCGATAGATTTTCTCCGCGACTTGATGGGTCCCCGTCCGGTTACTCCTGGCTTCAGAGTATCAGCAAAGGTGATTGTGGGGGAGAGTGAGCCACCAGGAGTTGTGCCGCCAATTGACATGTGCGCCGAAGTACTCCCTGATTTTATCGAATCCTGATATGAGGCAGAGTTGATTTTGAAGGCAGGGGTCGATCCGTTATTTCTGAGGTCATCAGCAGTCTGACCGCCAGACGCAGCGTTTGCCTTTCTCTGGGCCAACTGTTGCTGTACAGCTCTTGCTAGTGAGGACGAGCCAGCTCCTCCATGACGTTTCAGCTTTATAACCGTAGCGGATCCTCCTGTACCAACTGGACTTGCAACCCCAGGTCTACCTAGTTCAGTCAGGACTCCTCCTTTACCGTCGTTCACAGCTGCAGTAGATCCAGCTCTCATGTTGGCATCTACAATCCCTTGACGCTGAGCGCTCCCCAACTGACTTCCAGATATAGATCGAGACGTCCCTGCTGCCTGTTGCGCCAAAATTGCTGGGTTCGCAATGGGATCGCCATTTTCAATTAAGGTGGTATGAAGGTGATCTCCAGATATGACGATCTGATTCCTGGCATTCCGGCTCACAGTAGTAACGGAGGGAGGGGGTGGGAACTATCCGTGCCCAAAAAACATAGATATTAGTTAGTCTTTGAGCACTGCCATAATCTCCACGCATTTTCCCTGCCGCCACTGACGCTAGACTTACCGCTCGATTTGGCTGATTAAAGTGCAATGCCGACCACATGGGGTAATCCCTTTCCAGTTGGATAATGACGTCCTCGACAATCCGGATGCGTTCCGCAATGGTACAGGCGGGCACGGCAGCTACAAAAGAAAATGATTTGGAGGTTAAGGAACAGCACCTGAAGATAAGCCTTTGTTTGTTTCATATTATCGGTGTACATACCAATTCGAAGATTGAGGTGGACTTGAATGTTGCGCAAGCGCTCATCTAATCCATTGCTTGCCATGTTGGTATCACTGACATGGGTGTGTGTTTTTGGATTCGTCTTTGTGAGAGCCTCGTTCTTGATCGTCTCCAGCCTCATTTGAATGGTTCGATTGAGTTTCCTAGCATCCACTCTTGCACATCCGTCATCATCAGTAGGTTCTTCTGATCCCGCTCCTGTGTCGCTGACAGGAACACGGCCCTTGATGAACTCTTGCCTATTACTCTCGTTGATTTGCTCTCTTTTTGCTGCCATAAACTGTAGCATCTTGCCCTCAATTTCCTCTCTCGTGGCATTCTCCTGGATCGTGCCATGCACATCGTCCACTCGTCTCCGTTTGATAATCTCCAGAGATTCATCATCCACATCCATGGCACCAGTGTTGTTTCGTTTACTCGATCCTGACGAAGATGCAGCAGTCGATTCTGTGCTCTCTCCTTGCTCTGCAACCGATTCCTACGTGAAGGAATATGGGCGTTAGTTCACGATCAAAGAAGACCTTCAACTTCATAGTTCATGGCACTTAGCATACCTGCAGCAGCTTTGAAAACTTTTGAATGATACCCGGCGCGTTTTTCCGTTGCGTTGTGGAGAGCACTAGTTCTTCTGCTGCCATCATTCGACTTGACTCGACAAGTCCTAGCTGTCAACAGGCATTTCGGTCCGTAAAACCAATGGTAAATGCTTTGTTCATGAAGTCTAAGTACGATGTGTCCGTCCGATAAATTGATAACTTACTTCCGACGCCATACTTATTAGCAAATCCTGCCATGGGATCGTTAATGCAGGCCCTGAATGGCCATGATTGGTACCTGAAGCAGTACAGAGCATATCCGTTTAGCATACTTGCACACTACACCATTCCATGCCTATGAACGCTTTTTTTTTTTTTTTTTTTTTTTTTTTTGGCATATTTCGTACCTCCTGGGCTTGGTGTGCTATCCACTTGTAATGAGGTGTCGTTGAGAGGGTCGGTCAATGGTGGGTTGGTGTCGCGTATTGTCGCGTCTGACTCTTGGGCTTTAGATTGCAGGTTTTCGCTCAAAGATGCAATGACTCCAGTTGGACTTGGATCTGTGAGGGTGGGAGTGGAGGAATCAGATATGACTACCTCTTGTGTCGGGTTGGTCAAGGTCTCGTTGTTGTCCATGGAAGTAGTGAGTAGGATGTGCTAACAGGAGATTGATTAAGGCGTGGTCGCTGGCAAGAAGGTGTGGAACGCAGTCCAAAAACTTCAAGGTTGAAGCTTGGGGATTATCCTGCAGCTTGTGGCTTTTCAATTGTTTGGGCACAAGGGCCATCCCACTCAGGTACCACTGGAATACCATACTCAGACCCGTTCGCCGACAAACACACAGCACTATCACCATGGTCAAACTCGAAGAAGTCTCACTTAATCACGTTGAGGATGAGTACACCGAGTCGGACTCCTCTTCCGTCTACTCCTCGGACGATGAAGGCGACGTCGACAACATCGAATCTATTCTGGATCGTGTCTGGGCGCTTCAGGACGTTATCCCACCAAAGACCCGCAAGTCTATTGCGGACAAGTGCTCGTCCGTCTTCGACTGGGGCAAGTACAGCGCAAAGTTCCTCGGCAATTCTGCCTGGGTCCTGACCACGAGCGCACTTCTCCTTGTCCTCCCACTTATGATCGAGTTGGAGCACGAGCAGGGACTTATCGAGTTTGAGAAAATGCAGCAGCAGTCGAATCAGGTAACGAATATTGACCAGCGTTGCTTGAATCGGTTTACGAAGGTGGTTATTAACACTGCTGCCTCTATGCCTTTATGTCTTTATAGATGCTCTCCCAGCCCTCTGGACAGCAGAAGAAGCAAGCCGGAGGCATCGTCCCACCAGGGTTCTAAGGGAATCAATTGTCGACGACGCAGAAGGCAGTGAGGGCATGGAGAACGTGCGGACGAAAAGAAATCAACAGGCACAACAATTGGACACTGTACTGCAAAGGCGACATCGGATCGGGAGTTGATCCATAGTCATGGACCATCATTTGTCTTTTTCTCTTATTTGTATTCATCTATATTGCATTACTGTCGTTTATTATCGATTCCATCATCCTTTTCGCTCTCTCGTATTTTCTTGATCTTGCTCCCTTTTCTTATGTTATGCAGTCTGGTTATGGTGTATCTTTTTTTCTGTACTATTAAAAAATGCAGGCCGCAAGCATAATGGTCGAAAGCCTAGAAGGATCACACTTCAGATGCGGGCAATTGAGTAGAAACAAACATATTAACCCCAGGTCAATTACGCTTCAGACGGCATCATTCATTCAATATCAACATGCTGATCATTTCTTGGTTAAATCGCCACTAAACATTGCTTATGTTCCTGAAATCAGCTTAAGGAGGTTCATATTCGTCCGCAATTTTAGGGAAAATTGCCAAAAAAAAAAAAAAAAAAAAAAAAAACCATGCCATCCTCTGCAGAATTGACATGTCCGTCTTTTCTATCTAAGCTGGAAAGGAAGGGGGGTTAGTAAGACGGAAAAGTGATTTAAATATACGTTTTTTGTTCAGTTGCTTGTATTTGAAGTGCGCCTACTTCATTTCTCCACACAAAATCATATTTCAAGAAAGATTTATTTTTCATTTGTTTAACTGGACTTTGCTTTCCGCTTGCCGCCCTTCGATCCTGACGACTTTTGCGAGTTTCGGGCATCCTCCAGAGCTTGCCTCTTTTGCTTCTGAATCCTCTTCTTCTCACCAAATTGGTTGTCTTGCAATGCCTAAGGAGCGTATCAGACGCAGAAAGACATTAGTAATAGTATAAGGCGAGTATGTATTTGAAAGGTCAGATCAGCAACATACCATATTTGCTGCCCTTTTTGCCGATGTTACTTCAGTCAAGAGCTCGAGAGCCTTGTTTTCTGGAACCGGGTACTCGTCCATTGTTTTATCTAAGGAAAGGACACAAAAGACATGAGTACCAAATGTGTCAACAGTCTGGATACGAAAAAGCAACTGCATCTGACTTGATCCTGCGCTTCAATGGTATATCGACTTACTTATCCTGGCCTCGATATCTTGAACCAAAGCAATATCACGCTCCGTGACAATCGAGATGGCCTGTCCTCCTCTTCCAGCACGAGCAGTACGACCGACTCTGTGAATGTAATCTGTCGGATCGCGAGGAATGTCATAGTTCAAAACCAACATTACGCTAGGAATATCAAGACCACTGTAGAGACACATCGGTATTAGTGCTCAGCATCCAATCTTGATCATCGCAAATAAGTCAACGTATACTGCAATAAACCAATGTAGCCAGCTGCAACGTACCGAGATCCGACATCTGTGGCAATGAGAACCGTGGTAATGCCTCCTCTGAACTTCGCCAAAGAATTGAGTCGCTCCTGCTGTGACATCTCCGAATGTAAAGCCGTGCACGCAATGCCTAATTCTCTCAGCATCAGTCTGATCGTCTCCGCAGTCCTGCAGCGTCCACAAAAGATGATGGTTGATTTCTTGTCGAAACTCTCGGAACGGAGTAAGTATGCGAGATATGTCTCTCGAAGTTGAGATGGTATAAAAATGTAGGATTGAGCCAAGGTCGAGACGGTCGAGACGGCTGTCTTGCACTGATACACGAATGGCGCAGGCGTGTTGCTGGGCTTTCCGTTTGCTTCCTCAGAGCTAGGATTCGCCAACTCCAGCACGGCATCTGTCATGGTAGCGGTGAAGAGAAGAGTTTGTCGCTTCTTTGGCAGGGCCTCTAGAATTCCTCCGAGATCGTCCGCGAATGTTTCTGTCAAAAGTCGATCCGCCTCATCCAGTACAAGGAATTTGACTTTGGATAGATGCATGGCGTCCTTGGAGGAGTTGATGTGATCCCGAAGACGTCCTGGCGTGGCAATGATAATATGTGGTCGTTTGGAGAGCGCAATCGCCTGCGTCATCATGTCCAGTCCCCCGACGACAACGACATCCTTCAGGTTGATTGTCTTTCCGAGTACATTAAACTGTTCCGCAATCTGAAATGCCAGCTCCCTAGGAGGTGAAAATAAAAAAAGCCATTGTTAGCTTCTTCATGATTTCACTACTTAGCACGCAACATCGTAGTCAGGTAGTAGCAATTGCCCTACCTTGTGGGTGTCAGGACAACTGCAAAAACGCCGTATGGGTCCTCGGACAGCTTTTGCAGAATTGGTAGGGCAAAAGCGGCCGTTTTACCGGATCCGGTCTTGGCACCACCAATAACGTCCTTCCCTGCCAAGATCTCGGGGATGCACTTTGTCTGAATTTCAGAAGGCGAAGTAATCGACATAGCCTTCAGTGCATTTACCAGCCACGAGGTGAGTCCAAGCTGCGAGAAAGAGAGATTCGACTTGAACTCTTCCTCCTCCATATCTTCTTCGTCCTTCACTTCCTCGCTTTGATTTTCCACATCGTCTTCTTCGCCCGAATCGCTGCCTTCCTGGTCGTCCTCATATTCCTCGGCTGAAGAATCCTCAAAATCCTCGTTATCGGAGACTTGTTCAACGTCCGAGTCGGAGGACAGGATCTTATCTTCCTCTGGCTTCTGACGCTTGCTTGGTCTCGGTTTCGTTGTGCTCTTTGCCATTATGGGTGCGCAGTAGATGGGGGCCGTGTAGGAGTAGAGCAGGGGTGAGTGTGCTTGGGCGGTTTCCAAAAAAAAAAAAATCGAGGTGAGTAAACAACGTTGCGTGGCTTGTGCGCCACCAATTTTTAATCCTGTTGGTTACGCACAGACAGACAAAGCATGTGGGGCAAAACGAATAGTTTTATGAACGTCTCGAAAATGCTAGGCAATTGTATTAGAGAGAAGAAGTTGGCATTGAATCATCCAGGGAGATAATTCATTTGGGATTACAAGGCGCAGTGGGTAGAGATTGGAATGGTCCTATGGTGGGCATAATCCCATTCACACAGTTGTATTACCTTTTTTTTTATTCCAACGTCGTAAATGCAGCATTTTGGTAGTGCAATTGAGCCCTCCTACTGTTCAGAATCACCAGATCCACACTGCAAAGTGCTCAGACGCGTCCTCAGAATCTTGCTTATCAATATTTTTTTCTACAGAAACCAAAAACTAAGGTTACGCCAGAACTACGAGCCGTATGTAGCGCGCGTTTCCTTCTGACTGGGATGCCATTGTTTACTAAGGTCTACCTTTGTTCTTACGCAAATTGCTCGGATGAACATACCCTGTATACACTCTTGTCTAGACATGGTCGACCTGTCAACAGACAAACAAAAAACAACTTACCAGGGATTTCTTTGTCCTTCGGGTGAACATCGCGATAACATTCAGAAGGGAATCTACCGCTGCGAAGTCAATACACAATGCTCGCCCGTTTACTTCGAATAGTGAGCGCTCCACGAGGATATGAATGAACGATGTTGCGAATACAGACAGCGGTTATGTGCATCATACCCTGGGCTCCGGTCATCCAAATAGAGCCCAGCTCTTTCAGTTTCTCCACGATGTGTGTGCTCCGTGCCCCGTATGATCCTGACTACTTGATTGATGTCGTCGTCTTGCACATGTACTAATCACTTTGACGAGGTAAGTGGCCTTTGGTTGTGAGAGCGAGGGGAGGAAGGAAAGATTGTTTGGAGCAAATGGCTCTTCTGGACCGCAAAGGACGAGTGGACGCAACGATCGGAATGCTCTCCCGGGTCTGGAAAGGAAGACTAGACTACAGGACTGGACTGCATGGGTCATTAAGAGCTTTGTGGAACCACGTACAACAAGACAGCAGAGAAAGATGATGATAGAGTAGAGTTGAGAGCCGAGTGCTGTCTCATAACGAACGGCATGCATTGCAGCCTCGGTGTCCTGAAAGCGTCTGTTGTTTATTCGTTCTGTTTGCATTTCGGCTATGGAATGTTTGTGGTACCAACCCCCTCTCTTTCTTCGGTGCTGACATCCACATATCACTGAGCAGAAAGAGTATGGGACGAATAAGGATTGAATACACTGTTTGTGCTTGTACTTTTTAAATGAACAACATGAAAAGTGAGCCAGCCAGGTAATTGGACACAAACATGCCCTCGCGCCCCCCTCTTCCTCGTCTTCTCGAATACACAAACTCATCCGCATGTGCATGGGAACAGGCGCCGTATTTTATCTGGGTTCTGTACATGGCATGCATTTACTTTAGCAGGCGGATGTTTAACAGGTCGTGCACTCGATCTTTTTTACGCCTCAGTGCTCTTGTCGACCTCCACCCGTCAGCCCGCTCCACACAAACTAAGAAAAAAAAAAGTTCCTACCCCACGTCTGCTTCCTTCATTGCCAGACCGGGTTATCGATACCAATACAATGTGCGAAGTATAAAAAGGAACACATCGTGGCACTTTTCTTCTTTTTTCTTCAGATTCATATCTCCACTTGATCCCCCATACACCCTTCCCCTCTTCCCACTCCTTCCGCCCCAAACATGAAGTTCTCCTTGAAGGCCGTTGCCTTGGGCGCCCTGCTCGCCACAACCATTGCTGCTGCTCCTGTTGATGTTGAAAAACGCGATGCAGCCTCAGATCGTATCGGTGCTTGCTTTGTCGGGTAGGTCTGCACTACACGGTCCTAGCTACACGGATTTACCATCAACGATTCTCACATACCTAACATGAGCTGCTCCTGATTGTGCTCCACCACTAGCCTCATCTTCACTGGTGCCTGGCCCGGTAGCTGCCAAGCTGCTGTCGCTGTATGTCCGACTACTTGAACAGTTGCTTTATTGTCATGATGTTAACCTCAGATAAGTAGCTGTACATTGACTGACTCGCGTTTCACACTGTTGCCGTGTGCACATGTTTTGCAACTCGTAGGTCAACCTTGGCTTGATTCGCAGCATTGCTGTCAACCAAATGTCCATGGACTTTACTCCTGCCAACCCCTGGGCTCCTACGACCTCGTCCAACAGCATTGTTGCCACGATGATTTCCATCCCCGGTATCACCCTTCCCATCGACTCGGTCCGCCAGCACATCATCATCGCTGTACGTTTGCTTGTCACTACTACTGAGAATTCCGCGCAACAAACTATCATGCAAGATAGAATATCGTTCTTCCTTACTTATACGCAATACACTTCATTCCTCAATAGGATAATGGCGTCCAGATTGGTAACATTGATACCCCTTGGAGTGCCGCCAGCGTCAAGGGAGGCCAGTTGAGCACATCCTTCACGAAATCGACCTTGAACGTCTTCCCGAACTCGCATGCCGCCTTCTCCAGCTTCATCAGCTCCATTTCGACCAAGGCCTCCCACCCTGTGACTCTCCAGGGCTCCGTGGACGCGAAGTTGAACCTCGGAATCTTTGGTCACCTCACGATCCCTGGCATCGGTTTCAAGGCCACTACGCCCTTTGCGGGACTGAACGGCCTCAGCAATACTAAATACGTCTATCTGATCGACGTTCTTCTGGGTGAAAAATTCGTCGACCTGACCTCGGTCATCAACATCAACAACCCAAGCAAGCTCACCCTGTCGCTCGGTGATGTTCAGTTCAGCACTGCCTCCGACAAGGGTTTCGTTGGTATCTCAACTGTCAGGAACCTGGTCCTCGTTCCCGGCGACAACTACGTCCTTTCATACACCGCCTTGGACAACTCCGTCCAGGCCGCAAACGACTTCATGTACGATATCCTGTTCGCCGCCTCCTCTCTCTACATGAGCGGCTACAAGGACACCTCTGCCAATGTTGCCCTGAACGCCGGTCTTGCCGTTGTCAAGACCTCCTTGGTCATCCCTGAAAACTTCCAAGGCTTGACCACGTCCCAGCCTCCATACAAGGACTGGTCTGTCAAGATCCTGCCCACGACTAAGACCGACAAGCTTATCGAGATCACTGCCACGTTCCAGTCGCCCTACTATGGTCACGCTATCAATATGGTCTTCGATAACGAGGCTGGCATGGATAACTACGCCACCATCACTGCTGCTATTCCTAGCGTTGCGGATATGCGCTTCTTCAGCTTCCAGAACTATGCCAAGTTCTCGGTTTCCGGCAAGGACACCGTCAAGGTCAGCTTCAAGGCGGCAATGCCCGGTCCCTTCACTGCTGATGTCAGGAACAAATGGCAACAGTTGGTCAACTATGGAAAGACCAACGGCCACATCCCAATTGACTTCATGTGGCTCCCTACCATCAACCTCGACAACGACGGCATCGGACACCAGGTCGACTGGTCCAACCAGTTCTTGGGTCTCGGTGAGGTTAAGGTTGCAGTCGGCTCTGACTTTGCTTCGGTCCTTGACGCGTACCCTACTGCTTAAAGACGACTCTCCCTTAATTTGCAAACGTAATATTCGCATGCACACATTCAACTATTTCGCCCATCCCCCTTTAGTTCCTCTATCTATAATTGTTAGAGGTAGCATAGCAATAAAAACCACTTTTACCAAGCAAAGTAACTACTTGAATGATGATAGCTCTGATCCATAGCAGAGCACAGCGTCGAGTTTTTATTTATTTATATTTTTGCATGTATTGTTCACTTGCGATGGTTGCAATTTTTTTTATTCCGCAGAATGAAAGTATGCTATTACGATATCGTCACCATACAAACATGGCCAACTTGCAATCGTCTTCAATACGTAGTAAGCTTGGAATGAGACAGCGAAGCATTGAAGCAGTGAGGCAGCAAGGTTATCAGTACGAGCATCGAAAGAAGAAAGGCAGACCAGCTGCCTACAACGTCGGAGACAGGACCGTCGAGGGAGACGGGGAGCTTGAGGCTACCTTATCCGTCACCCTCGTCGGCCCCATCCGCATAGGCAAGGTCCAAGTATACTCAATGACCTTTTCCAGCGCTTCACGACGCGCCTGAAGGATCTGGTCTCGAGTAGTACGCAGGAATTGCCCAGTCGACGTCGCAGACGTTATACCGGTCAGAAATGCCCCTTCCTGCAGTGACCGTAATGCCGGCCGCGGCAGAGTGAACAAACCACCTTCAGTAGGTGGTATGAATCCGCACGCCTTCTTTTCCTTTCGCTGTACTGCATGCAAACCTTCGCTGTCACTACCTGGATAGGGTTTGAACCGTTGATGTGTTAAATTCACCTTCGGCTGGCCTTTTTGACTGGCCCTCCTAAGCCCTGTCGATCCATATTCTGACGTCCGACCTTGTTCCAACGATGAGGACCCTGCGTCAACATCCATTGACTCGGCACTCTCACGTGACTCCTTTGCAGCGCTTTGATCCAAAGACGCGAGAAAAGTCGATGCAGCGATGGCTGCTGCTCCAGGATCGACTGACGCGACAGCCTTGGGATGTTCTAGCAGGTCGTTGGCGATTATCCGATTCCTGAGCGAGAGATTTGCCAAGTGAACTTCAGTTCCTGTTTCACCCTTGCCAGGGACCAGGATGGGATGCGAGGTAGAGGCCGAGTCGCCCGGCATACTGTCCTTTGCTACAACGTCCTTCGCCTCCTTCAACCCCCTCAAGTGCGTGTCGGTTTGCGGCAGAGTCTTGATGTGTGTACTCGCGCTTGGTAAGTCATTCATGGTAACCCATTTTACAGCAGGCTGCAAGACAGCGGCAGAAACGGGCGTCTCGGGTCCTGATTGGGCTGTAGGAGATCCACGACTAGGCGACACTGATTCGTTCCTGTTCGGCGGGCCCTTGACTGTTGATGACGCTGGGACGAGGACTGGCAATGACGTTGAAGGGACATGCTCATCTACTTCCATACCACGATCACTAGAATCGAGAGACATGGGTTCAGACCGTGTCTCCGATAATGTGTCATATCGCTTGAAAAGTGACTGAGACCCGTCCAAGAAACGCTTCAATTCAATGTGGGCGGCCTCGACTGATCTCTTCAACTCTTCCTGTCTTTCCTTCTCCATACCCTCCAGAATCCTGAAGGAATGCCTGCTCATTCGCTTTCGTATCGTCTTGGCCTCCATTCCTGTCCCCTTGGCTTTCAGGAGATCCTCTTCGAAGGCCTCGACTGTTTTATAGAGCGGTGGGCACGTCTTTGATTCTGGGAATGGAAGTTTCAGAGCGTCTGCCCAAATCCAGTATGCTGACTCTGGACTCAATCCACGCGGTTCGGGATGCCAAAGAGGTAGGTAACGAGCGAGGTCCCATAACGGCGGACACCCATCCAAATTGATGGGGCACAACTCCATAAAGCTGTCCCCGATGTTTAGGAATTTTACGGCGCAATCTTCTCGAAATTTCGCCGTGATGATAGATCCCAGAGGTCGGATGGGCGGCAAGTCGTCCTCGTCGTCGATGTCGTAGCGAGTATTCTCCAATTGCGGGAGCGGCGGTAGTCCGACGCTGTGCGCAATTCCCTGAAAGTAGCTGGGTACGAGGCGGTAGTATTTCCTGCCATCGTGAACGACAGACTCCACGATAGTCCTTGCCTTTCTGGAGTCCAGAAATTCGTTATGTTTATAAAAAGTCCCGCCGTGTCGATCCACACAACCGAACACCTTGTTGTATTCCGCCATAAACAAGCTCTTGGTCATATAGACAAACTTCCTGCTCAAGATATGAACAGCCGCCCTGAAAATACATTCTCCTGCGGTCAGCAATGTGATTTTGTTGCTCGCCAAGATGGGTACGCCGTGGGCCATCACCATTCGGAGATCATTCATTGTGCTTGAAGACTTTGCGGTTGCAGCACCTGCTAGTATTGATTGGTGCGGTGTCGCTCCTTGGGTTGCAGGCGACGATAAGGCTGGTGTTGAGACAGATGGTGTCGAGACGGACGGTGTCAAGGTGAATGGCCGAGGAGGCACTGCGGCAGTCCACTGTGGAGGCTGAGTAGGATGAGGCACTTGTATATCGTGTTGTTGGGGAGCTTGATAAGGGATTTGTGCAGTAATCCTGAGACCAGGTAAAGACCCGTCTATGTTTGATTAACGTATCAACCTATTGTTAGCTCACAGCTCGGATGGTGCAGAAAGTAGATGGCGATGGATGTGGTAGTGTAAATATTGGGTACCCTGTCTTTGTTCAGAGGCAGGGAAAGGGCCAATGAAGCCCTCTTCTTCATTTTCTGGCTGCTGCAGAGAAACATGCAATGGAGGCGGTGTATTTGGTCCTGAGGAAAACGGCGTTGTCGGCGTCGAAGATCGACCTGAAGAAGGCCGGTTGGGCGATAGCCGATGCCTCGTTGGGCCTGCTGGCGAGACTGGCCTGTATTGTGTTGGGAATTGCTGGTTGTACTTGAAATCACCTTTGATATTATCCAAGGACGTCATGAGCTTTGAGGCTCTCTTCTTCTTCTTTTTCTTAGTAGTCGTGGTGGTGGTGCTGTCAGTTGCCTGGGGCGGGTTCGGGCTCGGTACGTTCGCAGAGTATGCTGGATTCTGCTTGGGCTGTGGAATCGGACCTGGCGAGGGCGCGGATCCGGATCCGGGGATCGGTGAGTCCATGAGGTGATTGGCTTCAGGGAATGGAGAAGAAGAATGAGAGCGAAAGATCAGTTAAAGCGATCGTAAACAAAAAAAAAAAAAAAAAGAGGCCATTTGTCGAACACAGGGACCATCTTTTCGGGCACCTTCTCTGATGCTTCGCCACTTTGGGTCTGGTGAGCCCCCTGGAACACGCGTGCCGCGTTCGCATATACGTCATGCTTTTCAGCAAGAGCGAGGCTGGCTCGAATATCTGTATTCCCTGGCTTTTGGGCTCTTCGCAGAAGGGCGCGTTGCGTCCCAGCCAACGGGGATGCATGGCGTGGAAAAAGACGCGTTGGTTGAAAATCCCTAAGGCATGAAAGCGGGGTCCTGATTGTATCGGCTTCGAGCCCACGGTGCCACTCATGCCAGCACATCCACTTGGCCAGGACGCTTTCACCGGGGACGCGAAAAAAATGGGTTGGTGCCCTCATGTCTGAGCGACTTTTATTAAAACTGAGTCAGGAATATTACTTCGCCCATCCTTCAAATGTTTCCAGTGCCTCTCGTTTAACTGATTTCTTTGTACATGCGGTCAATCTCGGCGCCATACTTGGCCTTTGCGGTGTGTCTCTTCAACTTGAAAGTGGGAGTCTACATGGGTAGTCGGAACAGTCATTCGAACATTAGCTGCGTTCTTTTATGGCTTCCACTCGGCCAAATTACCATGGATCATAATATAGATTACGTACCAAAAGGTCGTTCTCAATAAAGAAGGGTTCGGGCGAAAGATGGATATTCTTAAGGATCTCAAAGCCCTTCAAGTCCGAGTCCCGTCCAAACGCGGCAAGCTCCTTCAGCAATGTCTCCTTCGCCATAGGTTCAGCGCACAGCTCTTCGAACGATTTATCCCCCAATCCGTGCTCATCCGCCCACAGTTTGAGTGTATCAGCATCAGGCACAACTACTCCTACCACGTGTGCCTCAAGAGAGTATCCATACACAAAGACTTGTGCTACCAGGTGGTGCTTCGCCAGAATGGCCTCGATTTTCTCCGGTGCGATATATTCTCCCTGCGCCAGCTTGAAGATGTTTTTTACACGATCGATCAGGATCAAGCGACCCAGGCCATCCCACATACCAACGTCGCCGGTGCTATGAATTCAGCCCACATCGCCAACGTTGAAAAATATGATGGCATTAGAACAAGCCTTACGTTTCGATTCACAACACGTTATCCGGATCTTGCGGTACTCACCTCGACCATCCATCAGCGTCCAGAGTCTCTGCTGTCAGCTGAGGGGATTTGAAGTAGCCCTTGAAGACTGACGTTCCGCGCAGCAGAATCTCACCTCGAGGGAACGGCTCATCCTGACTGGTGTAGTTCATGCTGGGAATATCTCGAAGTTTAACCTCCACGCAAAGCTGTGGAGGTCCAACTTGCCCTGGCGTCAGGTCACCACGGTAACTTATGCTCAACCCTGCGGCCTGCTCTGTCTGACCGTAGCCCTCGTAGACATCTGCGCTAAAGCAGATGCGGAGAAAATCCATGACATCAGGAGAGATAGGAGCAGATGCCGAAATAATGTGCTTCACCTTTCCGCCCAGGCGTGCACGGATGGAGCCAAAGACCATTCGATCCCAGAACGCGTGCTCTATGATTCCATTTGCCAGATTGGCCTTCTTGGCACTGTAGGCACGGTTGAAGAGGAAGGCTGCTAGACCGCCCTTGGCCTTTACGCCTGCCATAACTTTGTCGTAAATACGGTTGAAGAGCCGAGGTACAGAAACAAAAATAGTTGGTTGCAGCACAGCAACATCGTCCAGCAGTTTCAGGGTGTCTCCTTGATAGTATCCAATGCGGGCAGCTCTCGAGATCATGACTCCCTGGCAGAGACGCTCGAAGACGTGGGCAAGAGGAAGATATGAAATATGGGTATCATTGTTGCTCAAGTCGCAGAACTTTCCGTGCTCTGCCATCAGTTGGAAGGAGGCGATCGTGGCCACGAAGTTCTTGTGCGTCAGGACAGCGCCTCTATCAAAAATGGGGCGCACCATAGAGTATTAAAAACAGTCAACAGCATGTTCCGTATAACCTCCTCCAATATGAAAGACGCGATATTGTTCAATAGCATAGCGTGCCTGATAGCCTACTAAGACTTACTTTGGTGTCCCAGTCGTTCCTGAGGTATAGCAGATTGTCGCGACGTCGTCTTCTGTGGGGTGGAGAGCCTGGACGGGACGTTCGAGACCGCTGAGCTCGACATCAGTCCAGGATACAATATTGAGCTCCAGTTCCTTGCCTTCGGTCACCAAAGACTCGTCCACATCACCTATAATAACGAGAGTCTTGACTGTTGGCAAGTTCGGCTTCAAGTCGAGAATAATTTCTGCCTTGTCAGATGAAGCGATGATGATTTCCATCTCGGTCTGGTTCACAATATACTCGATAGCGGCCATCCCCAACGTATCGTACAATGGTACCGAAATATAATTGTGCATATAACCTGCCAGTTCGCTCATCGTCTAAGGAGGGTAAGGTAGTATGAGAAAGATGCTCGGGTTATTCGTTTTTCTTCCGCTCGGAATCAAGGTTATGTATCCAAGACATACCCATTCGGGGCTATTGATAGAGAAGATTCCGAAGGTTTGCTTGGGAGCAATGCCCAGTTGGGACAAGCCAGCACCAAAGTTCGTGATGCGTTCGTAGGTCTTGGGGTAGGATTGCCAAACGTAGGCCTGAGGAGCACCATCAACAACGGGTCGGTGGCCGATAAATTCTCCCCCATCTATTCATTTCAGGGAAAGAATTGGAGAGGATGAGTGCCCTGAGCGTAGTGTATGAAGTCTGTATGTCTTTGTTTTGTTGTCAGTAGCGCGCTGTAGCTGTAGCTGTAGCTGTAGCTGTAGCTGTAGCTGTAGCTGTAGCTGTAGCTGTAGCATTAGCCCGCCAATAGTCTGTATCGCATCGAGACGATGACCCACAATAGCATTGAAGAGCTATGGGGCCCAAGCACACCTCATAGCTTGCTCTTACGTCCTCACACCCCCTGCGTCTGATAGTCGCGTTCCCCTTACCTGCGCGAAGGACGCCTTCAAGGAAATTGTCGTGCAGGGTCCTAATGGTTGTACCGGCTTTGATGGACGAATAATTCTCAAGCAACTTTTCAGGGCAGAGGACACTGCGTCGGGGTTTGCCTTCGCCCCGGATGTCAGGGCTGCTGGGCACGACGACTGAAAACATTTGCACGTCCATGGGTTGTAGAAGTAGAAGTAGAGGTAGAAGTACTGAAAGAGTTTGGTGATGCAGATGAGAGAATGAGGTGAGTGAGATGTCTGCAGATGAAGGAGAAGGAAAGGGATGAGCTCGAAGAAGGTTGGGGGAACGGAAGGACAATAAGTAAGGAAGACGAGAGCGACCAGGTCCCCATTGGGGAGCCCATTTGTCTGCGCCCACAGCAATCTGTGGAGGGGAGACAAATGAAAACTCAATTCCGTCCAGTCTCTCCCAACAGTTTCTATTCACGCAACAACAGTTGTTCAGCATGTACCACTGACGCTCTTGAAATTGATTTGGCACCTACTTCCTCCAGTTCGTCGCACCGACCGATGCTCCACTCTGTTGTCGGCTTGTTCGCTTATTTGTTTCCTTGCCTGTTTGCTTTATGCCTCTGCTTCCCGTTTCTCGCCGGTCTTACTTCAGGGCGCAAAGAGAATCCGTAGATGGCTCCTCTGCTTCGAATAAACACTGTGTTTGCTGCTTGCATTGGCATGTGCACCCTGGAATGCAGACGGCCACCCAATCAACTGCGAGGCCTCCTATGCGCCCTTGCGCTCCATCTATGGCCGAAAGAGGGAATACTGTACACGTCTTTGTTTTATTCTATTTTACTTTGTTTAACACCACAACGCCTCATCCTCGTCCTCCCCGACTTCGTCCTCATCCTCAACATCGCTGTTGTACCCACTGGTCAGAGCATTGATAAGCTCTTCAGTCGTCATGCTCACAAAGTCGTGGTCCTCTGGATACTCGCTGTTCTTGAGTCGCGACATCCACCAATCATCTTCATCCTCGTCCGCGTTCTGTTCTAGTGTGAGATCTGCTTCCATGTTCTCCTCGTCCTCTTTCTCGCTCGTGTCTTCACCATGTTTCTCCATCGATTCATCCCTCTCTTGACTCTCCTCGTCTTCATTATCTTGGTCTCCTGAATGGTGATACCGTCTCCTTTTCAGGCGTCGAGATCGTTCCTTTTGCTCCGTAGACGAAGAAGGCCCAGCGACTGACCGTTTCGCAGATGACGAGGACGTAGAGGAAGATATGAGGGGGCGCGGTGCCGATATGTGTTTGGGCGGCGTGGGAGTGATACGCGGCCGGCTTCTCGCTGAGCCTGATCCAGTGCCTAGGCTGTAGGTACTAATGCTTCCTGTGAACGACAACAAAGACAATTGTGAATGAAATCCACCCTCAGAAGATGACCCATCCTCAGATTCGTCCTCTGAGGACTCAGCTTCACTATCTACGTCCTCCTCCTCTTCATCCTCGTCCTCCCTGTCTTCGATATCGGGATTGTGTTCAGACATCAAGTTGTCTGTATGCCCCGAGCGGCTAGATCGTCTGCTGAGGGGCTTTCGTTTGAAGGAATCCTGTGCCTCAAAATGAACGCGTCTTTGCTGTTGCCTTCGGTGGCAATGATGATTATGGTGATTATGGTGGAAGTGGTTGGGTCTGCTGAAGCCCTCAGGCTCTAAACTGGATTCAAATGTCCTTCCAGTTAAGATGGATGGGCCGACCCTTGCACGAGGCTGGCAGGTCGAAGGGAGGAAGCGCTTTCTGTACGCGTCCAGTGCCTGCTGCAGTAGAAGACGCTTCCCGTCTAGTAAAGCCTGGTTGACTGCACACTACTCATATGTGCAACCAAAGGAAATATATCAGTAGCCCGTAGGTCACTGAAGGACCCTCTGCTTATTGGACTGTGGCTGCAAAAAAAAAAGAAAAAAAAAAGTATGCACATACCAGCTTCCATCCGATCTCATTCAGATACGATTCCTCCGCTTGTCGGACGCCACCAGGTTTCCAATGCTGGGGATCACCTTCTTCCACCAAGAACGAACGCGGATAGACACAGTTCGTTTTTTTGAAACCAAAGGGGAGGTCCTCCACCCGAATATGATCAATGCTATGGCGAATGCAAAGTCGTTTCATCTGACCCTCTACATACCCATCAAACAACAAAAACTGCCCAGGATCGTCAGCGCTATGAGGATAGGACGTTGAAGGACGGAATACACCCACACTAGGAAGCTGTTGTGACGACGGCCGGCCACGCATTGACGAAAGACCATGTCGCTGAGTCAGCGAACTCTCTGAAAATAAACCGTAAAGAGCAGAGCCAGGAGTTGAGCTCGGGGCAAACGATCGCTGGCCAGCTTGTGCCGTTGTGGACACCTGCACGGGCTGCCAGGTAATTGACCTAGCTAGGCTAGCCTGAGTGCCAGTTCTCGGGCGGCATGGCTGACCCACGTGCTTGGATCCAGGTAATCTCGGTATCGCCATGACTTGTCTCTGGACTGGTGACTTCAGGGATCTCTGAACTGCCAGCTCCTGTCTCCTCGCTCTCCGAGACTTTTGCTCCGCATTAACGTTTCGTAGACAAACCACTGCACGCTGCAGAACGCCTCTCTTGCCGTCTAATTGTGTGGGATTCAGAAGCACGAGTTTCCACCCTTGCTCGTTACACTCGCGCTCATATTCGCGACGAGTGCCGTTGTACTGCTCCTTTGGTCCATCCGCGCTAGGGTAAAGGCAATTGGCGACTCGAAGCTCTGATGATATGCCGGTCATATCCACGGCATCAATATCTACCCGAATTGTATAGGACGTGCTTCCGCTCTTTGTCGAGTACGTAAAGTTGAGCCAAGGCACGCCAGCCATAAATTTGACAGTGGGTGCAGCCGCAGGAGGGATCTTGCTATGAATGGGTCGTATAACAGACAGGAACTGTCCCATATCGTTCGTCTGGTTTTGCGGTTTCTGAGTGGGCTGATGGTTCGCATTCGGCCTTGAGGATGTACCGCTCGCCGAGCCAATTTCGTCCGCCGACTGAATTTTTCCCAACTTCACGCGTCTTAGAGTGGCCTCTATTTGTGATATTTGTTCCACGGACAGGGTTGAGAGTGCACCAATAACGCTTGCGCTTGGCAACAGCAGGTCTCGCAGTGGTAAAGACGCATTGGGGCTACTCTGCGACTCTACTAAAGGACCTTGCCGCTTGGTGCATAGGCCAAATGGGATACGTGTTACAATATGAATCTAGAGACTGCACTGAACACTAACAACCACTGAAACTCAGTGATAATAACTACCTCACATTGTTCAGAGCGGTTACCGCAACGAATAGCTGGCCTACTCGCCGTTTCATTCTCTGATGGGGAATCACTTCCACTCATTTCGATAATCGAAATCCAAGAGGGCTTCTCGTCCTGAGAATATGATAGTTGCTGGGTTATTGCGAAGACGGCAACCCCGGCCAGGGTTTATCTCAAAAAAGAAAATGACCGGGGGTGTGAATGATAAACAAACTTTGCACGTGCTTAAAAATGCAAGTTGGTGGCAAAACCATCATTGGCTTAGTGTATCTTTGAGGCCCCAGGCATCATAGCAGAATTGCATCCAGGCGCAAAAAACAACAGCACCTTGTTAATAAAACCTATAGGTCCTGTATCGTTTGGTGAGGTCAACCCCCTTTCCGATGACTAGATGATGCTCATCGCGAACCCTCTGCAATCAATTGAAAATAACCCGATTCGTTCGATGCCTGCCCTTAACCTATTCACTTTAATTCAGTCCCCCAATGTTGGCTCCAGTCCTGAGTGTGTGAAGGCTACACCATCATAGCGCCGTGTTTTGTACGAGCGACGCTCGGTTAATCGTCTGTTTGAACTGGCTCTCTGCAATATACGAGTTCGTCGCGTGCCTGGAGCACCGCAGCGAGGAAGATGGCCTCCAAAAAGGGAAATCATACTCCTCAATTGCTCACCTCTTAACCTTCTAACTTCTTAATTCCCTTCTCTTTCACTCTCTCCCTCCCACGCACACCCTCACACACACTCTCTTGCTTCGTTCGCCTCTGCTCGGTCGGCTTCACCCCTTTCAGCCATGCTCTCCCGGTTCGGCCTTAAATACCCGTCGAAACTCCACTGCGAGAAGGTCGCCTCGTTCCTCTCGCCAAAGTCTCGTGAGGACGCCATCCTCCTCGCCAAAGGTGCCGAGCTCCAGAACCGAGACAACACCGATGTCGAGCTCGACTTTCGCCAGGAGTCCAACTTTCTCTATCTCACCGGTGTCCAAGAAGCTGACTTCTACTTCATTTACGACTTTACTCACAACCGCTCCTATTTGATTGCTCCGGACGAGAACCCTATCGTGGCTATCTGGAAGGGCCCAGGTCTGTCGAATAAGGAACTCTTGAAGAAATATGATGTCGACCATGTGGTCCGACACTCGGGCTTGCTGAACCTACTCAAAAACGAGTTACGTCCCGCAAAGATACATGGATGGGGTCGTCCCGAGAACGGACTTCCTTTGGGCGACAAGGCACAGGAACACGAACTCAAGCACTACATCTCACATCGTCTCGTTCGCCTCAGTAAGAAGAAGGATCATCAGAGACATTGTTCTAGTCTCCACCGTACCCGTCCGCATCACCCTCATCACCATGGGCCCTATGGCGACCACCACGGCCACCGCGGCGGCCATCACCGGGAACTCCATTATCAGGACACGCAGCGGCAGGAAGATAAGGATCACGACCACGATGATCCAAAGGAGCCCGATGAGGTCACGCTTCTGCAAGCCATGATCCTCTCACGCGTGAACAAGACTCCTATCGAGATCGCGCTCTCGAGAGAGTCCACCCGCATCACATCGGACGCCCATCGATTGGTGATGCAGTCTGCCCGCGTCGGCATGTACGAGTATCAGCTCGAGGCGCTCTTCCGGTACGAATGCGCCCGTCAGGGAGCCAAGACTCAGGCGTACCTGCCCATCGTCGGCACCGGCGTCAATGGCGCCTACTTGCACTATACCAGGAACGACACACGTATCCAGGATGGACAATTGATCTTGATCGACGCTGCCTGTGAGGCCGACTGCTACGGATCCGATGTTACAAGGACATTTCCTGTCAGCGGTCGATTCAGCCCCGAACAGACAGAGATCTATAACCTTGTTTTGGAGATGCAGACCGTAAGTTTCATTCACCTCGTTTTTTCTGCTAAAAAAAAAAAAAAAAAAAAAAAAAAAAAAACTGGAGGGGAAGCAGCCATAAAGCACTCTGACCTATTCCAACTCATATTTTTTTCATCATTCATAACACATCTAGTCTGTTATCCAATCGATGCACAAAGGTGTTGAATGGGGCGCCATGGCCGTCCTCTCTCAAAAGATCGGCATCCGCGGCCTCAAGCGTCTGGGGATCTTCAAGGGCGACGACAACGACCTATTCGAGAGCAATGTCATCAAAGTCTTCTACCCTCACGGATTGGGCCATCTCGTGGGCCTGAACGTACACGATGACGGACTTGGTCTTTCAGTTCAGCACCCCTCCCAGCTGACGAGCGATGCAGACAGCCTGTCCAAGTTGCCGGTCCAATTCCATCCTATTAACACCAACACTGTGGCCGAATCTCTAATCGAGCTGCCTCCTCCTTCCAGTCGCAGAAACAAGGCAGTCGGGTCTTCGTTCTATGCGAAGCCTTCTACAAAGCTCGAGCCTGGAATGCTGGTGACGGTCGAGCCTGGGATCTATTTCAACCCTGCCCAGATCCAGTATGCATTGGAAAATCCTCATCTTGCGCAGTATCTCGACGAGGCCACGATCCGTCGCTACATGTCCGTGGGAGGTGTGCGTATTGAGGACGTAGTGCTGGTGTTGCCTAATGGAAGCGTGGAGAACATTACGACCGCGCCCAAGGACCTGCGCGAAGTGGAGCAGATCGTACAGGAAGGTCAGCGCAAGCACAGGGAAAGCCAGGAATTGCGTCAGCCAAGCAAGATTGCTGAGAAGAAACATGAAAAGCAGAGCCCCCTCACCGAGATCTCGCAAGACGCGCCTCAAAGACTCAAGAAGCGTGTGGGCGTGTTCAAGAAGCTGCTGCGTGCCATTCGCAATATGTTTTAGGTACTTGCTAGGGCGACAGCAAAAACATACCATTTTGGCAAAAAAAAAAAAAAAAAAAAAAAAAAAAAAGCATTCTTTACTTGTAATCAAAAACAAGACGACAGTCAAAGTGACATCTAAGAATCATGTTTATTCATTTCCTTCTTGACAAATGGCGCTGAACGTCGTTGTTCCTCCGTTCCTCTTTTGCATCCTCACTTGTTTTTAAACATAGCGCTGTATGACGACTGCGTTGATCAGCCCAGCATCCTTGATAGTCTGGTGCACATCATCCAGGTCCTTCTTTGGAAAACTCGTCTGCAGCACATATGCTCTTGAGGACTCGCCCGGACTCGACGCATTGATGTATCCCCGAATGTCGTTCACTGTATGCGTGTGGTTGAAACGTGCCACCATCCTTCCGCCATCGCCCAACCGAATCTGAATCGATGTCACAGGCTGCGACTCGTCAATCTGCACAGTGCGTGGTGTAGGAATATCCTGAGCGTTGGAAGATGATCCGCCTGGGAAGGATCCAGGTGTATTTGAGCTTGAAGTAGCAGGGGATACTACGCTGCCGAGACGGTTACCAGCTCCCTCGAAGGGCTTGGGTGGGGCTTTGGGTGGCTCCTTGTAGTCTTCATCCATGCGCTTGGCGACTCTCATCTCCACAGGCTGACCAGGCTTGATGTTGAGGTACTTCAATGGTGCTTGTCTAAAAACGGGCGAGAGTTGATCATAATAAGTCATGATGCTCGCGCCATTATGGTATACCTTGCTCCCAAGAGCTCCACTGGGTCGGTTGTATTCCTACCCTCTGTTGATCGCATCCAAGAACTCTCTGTTGGCAGGGTCAGTATAGCTCATCAAGGGGCCGTCCTCAAGACTGTATCCGTTCCTCCAGAATGTCAGATTGCGTGTGACCTATTGTGAGCCCAAAGAAAATGACCTTTTGCTGATAAGTATCCATGTCCAGCCAGAGCATATCATGCTTCTGTCGCCATCCCTTCCAAGCGGAACCACTACTTACAGTCTCCAGGACTTCAGGCGATGGGGTTAATCGCACAGGAACTTGAGGCTGTGCGACCGAAGTAGAGCTCTCGGCTTCGTTTCCAAGACGGTTTCCAGCTCCTGTGAAGAACGACTTTTTGGGAGTAGGCTGCTCAGCCTCCTCTTCGTGTCTCTGACCTCCTCTATATGTCGCAAATGAGAAAAAAAAATATTAGAGCCTCATAGCTGCATGTAGTCGACCTCGCTCTTAGCATTTCATCCGAACAGCACAGCATCTTACTTGGCAGCTTTCTTCAAGATATCCTCGACCAGTGCATTAGGATCCTTCTTTCCTGGGGGTCCCTGAACCATAACGCCACTATGGGTTCGAGTAAAAAAAAAGAAAAAGAAAAAATGAGTCCATTAACACGCCTTTTTTTCTGTACAGAAAAACAAGTGCGGATAAAACTTGTAGAACATACGATTTCTCGCCACCGGCAAAGTAATTCTGTGAGTCCTCGTCCTCATCCTCCTCTTCCTCGTCCTCGCTCTTGCTCAGATCGCGGAACGTAGCAATGCCTCTATATTCACATATACGCAACAGAAAAATAGATAAAAGACGTGTTAGTCAAGCTAGCAAAGCAAGAATGCTCGCTCATGGATTGAGTCTCCAAGCTGGAGAGAGAGGGGACACTTACCCCTGTCTACGTCCTGATGCGCTCGAATCCGCCTTGGCCTTGCGCTTCCCTTCAGCAGCAGATGATGAGGCGGTGCGAGGGGTGGTACGTGCCATGATATCTTCCAGATCTTCATCATCCTCATCCATATAGTCATCATCATCATCATCTTGTGCGGTTGCTGCCTTTGCTCTGCCTCGACTTCCTGCTGCGGGCGCTGAAGCTGCCTCGGGTTCCTCGTAAAAGTTACTCAGTGCAGCCTAAAGATCGCGTCAATGGCATCAAACCAAAAAAAGAAAAAAAGGCGTGTGTCAGGATAAAGATACACGGGGCTGGAGGGGCGTAAAGGCGCGTGTGGTTTTGGTCAAAACTGAAGCAAAGCTATCCTTACGTTGATGTCCCAGTTGTTGGCCTCGAGGTAGAATTCGGCTTGCTCAGGAGTGGAGCCGACAACACCGACAAAGTTGGCGATGAGTTCTGAATGGTCAGCCATGTTGAAGATGTGTTTGCAAAGTTGAAATGGAGGAAGGGAGATGTGTGCCAAAGAGTGCATGCACACGCCAGGTATTTATCGGGATGATGACGCAGTCCATTTATTTATTTTATTCTACGATGCACAGCGGGCACTTTTACAGCTTCGAACTGGCCTTGAGCGACAGAACCAGCTTTCCGAACTGCTTTCCACTCTTCATCATCTCGAACGCTTCGTCCGCAGACTCGAGGCCCTGCCAGACATTGCTCACCACTGGTCTCAACTTGTGCTTCGAGACATAGTCCAACATTTGCTCAAACTCTAGGCGTGAACCCTGAAAGTAAGGATATCATAAAATAGCATAGAACGACGCGTCAGAGACCAGCACTCAATGAACTGCATACTGCCCGCCGCACGAATGTGAACATGCCCCTCCTCTTACCATAGTGCTTCCACGCAACTCGATATTCTTGAGAACGGCTGCCATAGAGACCTCGATCACGGGCTTGGTCGCCATACCGTATGTGGCCACGATGCCTCCCGCTCTCAGGATCTTGGTGTACGTCTTGAACGCATCTCCACCGGCGCTGTCGATCACCACATCAAAGAACTCTCCGCCAGCGATTTTTTGCAGGTTGTCGCCCCATTTTTCTGCAAATCACAACAACGAATTTGAGAAGGAGGGGGGTTAGAGGATACGTACACAAGAAATATTACACAAATTAACGCGTCTGAGTCGCGTCTGAGACGTACCGTCCTTGTAGTTGACGCCGCCCTTGGCGCCTAATCGGATGGCCTTCTGAATCTTTTCTTCATCTGACGATGAGACATAGACATTCGCCCCGGCAGAGACACTGAACGCCAACGCCAACAACGCAACACCTCCACCTGAAAACCCCCCCCCCCCCCCCCAAAAAAAAAAAAAAAAAAAAAACCATCACGCAATAAAGCAGGGAAGATTCGAAAGAGTTAGTCGTCAGGAGATGCATTTCCGGTAAACTCAAAATAATGCTATTACTAATTCTACATTTACCAATGCCTGTAATCAACACATTTTGGCCCTTGGCGACCTGTCCCTTCGTGAAGACTGCGCGGTACGCCGTAAGTCCTGCAAGGGGCAAAGCAGCTGCCTCAGCATCCGTCAGATGATCCGGTGCTTTGAAGATCTCTTCCTGTGGAGCGACATAGTACTCTGCCATCACACCTGTGGATCGCCCAAAAAAAAAAAGAAAAGAAAAGAAAAGAAAAGTCGGTTATCAACTGGCATCTCCAGGCGCCAATTCACTTATGGAGTAAATACCCAAGTCGGGTCTCTAACCTCCAGCATGGGTTCCTCCAAGAATGTAATATGCCTCCTCGGGTCCCCTAGGATCCTTGATCCAGCCCGTTGAGGGGTTCACAACGACGCGGTCGCCGACCTTGAACTTTGAGCCGCCCTTGACATCCACAATTCTGCCGACACCATCGGCTCCCATGATCGAGCCGAACACGATTCCCTAATAACAAAATAAAATAAAATAATCAAATGTCCCACGATCCACCAAATTCAGTGAGTTCTCTTATCGACCAACACACACACAAAAAAAAAAGGGTGTTTAATAAAAAGAAGGAAGTTTGGTTCAACATACAGGGTACTGTCCTTTGCGGATCCAGAGCTCACGGTGGTTGAACGACACAGCACTGATCTCCAGCAGAGCCTGGTTCTCCTCCAAGGTCTCTGGCTTGGGCAGGTCAGTAACTTTGGCGTCGTGGTAGACGGGTTTGGTGTCTTTCTTTTCGATGATAAGGGCTTTCATGGTTTTGTTGGTTGGAGTGGAGAGAGAGTGAGTGAGTGAGAGAGTAGAAGAGTAGGAGAGTAAGAGAGTGTGAGGCGCTTGAGTTGGTGAATGAAACGAAGAATGAGGAAAAAGAAAAAAGAAGGAATGCCAGACTAAGGGTTATTTCCTTCAACCAATATGACATAGCATTTTTGAATCCGCGTGCGTTTATCCGAGTGGATCGATTGTCTCCGATCGGCCAAAACTCAACAGCCCATTCGCTGCACCATATCCTTCGCTTCCCCCAATGCTAAAAAGCCGTGTTAATAAACAGATTTATTGTATCCGCGAAACCACTGCAAGAGCAGTCTGTTTCGCATGTATCGATGGCAGAAGAGAGGAGATTGAGAGGAGAGAAGGATTGAGATGATATATATATATAAAAAAAGATGGACAAAATAGAGCAAGATGGGGGGATAAGGGCGAGCAAGGGTTTCCTGAACACCATGGACAATATACGGGATCCGGACACTTTGCTTTCTCACTCCCGTCCGTTCTATTTTTCTTTTTTTTTCCGCTTTATTTTTGAATGCTATTGCTATTAAAAAGCGTAGAGAGAAACCAAATAAAAAGTCGTTTGTTAGCCAAACTTCTCTCGCGCATATCCTGGCATTCATAACCATAAAAGAAGCCCCTCCATGCGACCCATAAAGAAACTGGCTGCCTTACCTACAATGGCAGAAGAGATGAAACAAAATAACGACTAGAAAAACACCCTGTCGACCCTTTTTTTTTTAGTGGTGCTCCTCGTGGTTATCAGCGCTCTTGACATCATAGCCGACAAAGTTCCTGCGTCCAATGATCTCGCCGAACAAGAAGAAGGTATAGGCCTCAGCAGCGACGAGACCGGCCTTCAAGTACTGGTCCTTGGAGATGTTCTTCCATGTGTTGGCGGAACGGGCAGACACGAGGAACTTTGTGGTCGCCTTCTTGGCAGCCTCGAGTTGAGCAGCGCTTGGAGGAGCCATACCCTCGCGAATGTAGACCTGCTTGGCAACCTGAGCAGCGACCTTAGCATTATAGATAAGAGGGCCTATCGGAAGATCGTTGACCAATGTCGATATTCGGTTAGACACGAGAACAAGGGTATTGAGAATAGATCATCAGATCTGTTTGATGAGTCTGCAGAGTCGCTCCTGCAAGTGTCTATTGAGGCGAGGTATTTCATAATTGTCTCTGCTGACTATGTTCCACGGTAGGGTTCAATGATGATCCTGGCCTGTTGATGTGCCTCTGATTTTCTGAGCGTGATCGATAAGCCCTGATTGATCTGCAAGACCTGGTCGAGTCTGATCGCCGTTGAAGGTGAAAAAAAAGGCCGAGACGATCAATCGCCCATCGCGAGAATAGATCGAAGGACATACCAGACAGCTTGGCAGCAGTCGAGGTGGCGGTGGAAAGGGTCTTGGTGACGTTGTTCATGGCGACAGACGTATTGGGATGCAAGGGTATGGAGGTGAGGAGGGATGCTTTCAAGGTGGTAATGATTCCGGGCGGTGCCTGAGATCTTGACATCGGACTCTCCGTTGTTGCAAAACGAAGAGCAGTCACAAATGACGTCACCAGGTTGGCCTGATAGTCTGAACTTTTCCGCACTAACTCGCTGATTGGCTCGAAATAGCGTTGGGTTTTATTGTTTTCTCGCGTGCGGAAATAATGAATGTGCACTAAGAGAATTTACTGGCAGCGAGAACCAGCATTAACTTCATCTATTCCTTTTATCTCGCGTACTGCTTTCTGAAGGAGTGCCGCCGCAGAAACAAAGTAAGTCTCCGTGCACTTCCTGGTCTTGCCATTGTGAACCACTCGACCAAGCTCCATCCAAGCCTGGCGAATTGTCTCCTCGCACTCCCACATCACTTGAGCCCTTTCCTCCTCCTGCCGTCTTCTTTTTTCCTGCATCTCCTGTTGTCGCACGGCTTGGAGTCGCTGCTCCTCCTCCTCTCGTGCTGCTTGTAGTTGTTGAAGTAGATTCGGAGAGAGAGACTCCTCTAACGGAGGGCCATAATCCTCTTCCAGGACGGTTTCCTCATTCTCGTCAATTGACTGTCCCGTTAA